AATTATGAGAAACCCTGTATAAAAGTAAAATCGACGCAACACACATCAAGTTAGAGAAGGAAGAGACGAAAGACGGGGACTCAATTTACGCGCCAAACTTCGCGTACCATACACACACGCTGGCAAGCGTTGATCTCAACAAAAAATCTCAATAAAAAATCTCAATAAAAATTGCTGTTATACTTCGATGACAGTGAAAACGTTAATTCGCAAGCCTAAAAAAGTTGTGACGTATGCACGAGTAAGCAGAACCCTATCTCTTACCACGGAAATGTCTTATCGTAAAGACATCCTGGAATTTTTGTGAGGGCAGATACGCACGGCCGACTACTAAAAATAGGTCTAAATCGTACAAATTCTGAGGTAGTTAATCATCGCGGACTATAATATTATATGAAACGGTCCACGTGAAATCATCGAACAAAGAACGCATTTAAAGTCGTTTACTTCATTGAACAATTAATCTTACATGATTCAGCTTTGTGAATGCTCGTTACATTTTAAATATTCATTTCTAAGTATTTTTAACGTGACGTACGATAACAGTGATAAATTATCAGAAATTCGCTGTGAAATGTTTCTTACTCGAGTTTGATATTAGAGGTTATGAACTTCGCTGGAATTTACACTTTAGCAAATAAGTCGATACATGATTGAATCTGATTAACAGTGTAGCATGTAAACACGTTCATTCGGGGCATTCAATATCGACGCAATAATTTCATGAATAAACGAGCAATGAAAATTAAGCTTTAATTCAAAGTTAAACACACGCCTGATCAAATTTTCGCGAACATGTAAATCTAGAAATTCACAGTAATAATACAAATTGACAAAATTAAAAATATTGGAAATTTAAGAATTTGAAGGACCATGTATCAAGATGGTGCAGATTCTTTTTCTATCGGCCTGAATTATGGTCACGCCATATCTCCACGAGCATCGAACACGTGGCGCCATACTACGTTGACTATAGGAACTTTTCGCGACCGGTAAATATGTGCACAAATCGGTAACTTTATACTCTGATGAAATCAGTGAATTTTTAATATATTAAACAATAATAATTTCAAACTTAAAATTATAGCAATTGATCAACACTTTATAATTAAAAATATATTGAATGCCCAGATGAAAACTGTTATACAGACTTCTGCTTTACCGACACTAGACTTTCTGTATTACCGTTCTAATGTTAACTGTCAGAAATTTGAAAATGTTCGAATACCTTTACAGTTATAACTTTGCAACTTTATATCCTTAAACTGCCAGTCAGAGTTTTCAGTAAAATAAACTACGTAAATTATCGACTTATTTATTATTTGTATTAAAAAGATAAATTATTAATAATGAATTAATCGAGAGAAACGGGTATCTACGATATCGAGCGATCTATCGAGGCGAAGAATCGAAAAATGCGATCCGGAGATCCTCTTTCCATAGATGGATTCGAAGGATAAAAAAGTACCTGACCAGGTTTATCCAAGAGTCGTCCATGAACGAGACTCTTGCTCCCTCGAAACCTTTATCTGCCTCGAAAGATCACAACGAAAAGCGCGGTACAAGCAAGCAACTAGCATCTCTACGATTCATGCAAAGAAATAGAGCAATCGACTCACTTGTATTTCGAGCAGCAGCTCCGTCTTCTTTCGCCTTATATCTATGAGAATCTTCTGCTGCTCGGGCGTCAATTCTGCACAACAGAAGAGAAAGCGTTAATAAGTATGTCGATCGTATTCGCTTTTAAAAAATAAGATATTCGCGCAAATGGTATCGGCGACCGACAACATGTTTTTTGTGTATCATTTTTTCGTCTCAATGGGTGAACTTTATAACAAAGAACTGCCGTGACATCACGCGTTAATGATTCACCATCGGATGACCATACATCTGTTCCATGATTAAACAGTTTAAAGGGTACTTCAATGATAACATCTGTTTAATATTCTAATCAGAAAATAGACACAACAATAAAGAATGACTCTTCTATCATCAACTACTTACATCATTCTGGGATTTCACTTTCTTCACCGGCTTAACTTAGCTAACAAATGCTAACGATTTCTAACCGAACACGATCGAGAGACGAGCTCGCATAGTACGTATTCGATATGATATCTGGATCATTCTCGACATCGGCCGAGCGGAGGAAGAAGCTCTACTATACGCCAGACAAGGGACTGGCACTCGCTTGCAGATGCACAGATTACAACAATTGAGGACGTGCCGTACAAATGCGCACGCATTAGATCGCCACGCATTGTATAGCCACGCACTGTATAATCACGCATTAGATCAACTCGAATAGTACAGATAGATCACCGTGCATGATATATAACCACCCGTTAGATCACTGCACGTCATGTCCCGCGCTAATAACAAACTAGATTACTACACACAGTAACCTAACTTAACATTTTGAACTAACCTAAGACTAACAATCTGACTAACCTAAGACAAGCTAATCTAGCAGAATAAAATTACGCGTCACATTCTACTTCAGTCGCTATCTTCAACGATATCTTAACGACATTATCGATATATCTTCAAATATCGATAAGATACCGATACCGTATCGATAATCGATAGTAGCATCTCTACGTCACGAACGAGTAGGGACGAGAAAGACATGGACGAATCTGTAGGAATTCTGTCATTGATAATTTATAACGAGGGAAATAATCGTATGTAAAAACCGTGTAATTTAGAAAGATTAGGGAAGATAGCTTCATTCAAGAGTAAATGCTGATTTTAATGATAAGAACGTTGGTCATCCAACACCTCATTAGGAGCAATTCAACGATGGATCTAAAAATAGGTCTTTCAAATTAAGGCTGGGGTCGCGGTAAATGCGCTGAATAAACGCAAATAGGATTAGACTTCGAAGGGGAACAAGTGGCAAACAGGCGCGTTTTATTATAAACACCTTGAACCGCTTTCTGTAAAACCTTAGCCAACACTGAACTTGTGTTGATATACAAAGGTTGATTAACATAATGAAAATACTTGTTACGAGTATTTCGACATCTAGTTGATTTCGAATAAAAGTACCTTCTCCTTCTGAACATTAATTTTTGTACTAAAAATTCTGAATAATATCTCATAAGATCTATTTTTTCATCACTGTAATATAAATAATTTTTAATAATAATAAAATGTATTATGGTGACATCGATACTAGCTACCCATTCAAGTAATGAATAAAACGTATTAATACCTTGATGATATCGATTTATCCTTAAATAGAAGAATATTTCAATCTCCGTGATCTCGTAATAAAACTCCAGCCTTGAACGCGTTAAAGAAATTCCGGGACTTAACGAGAAATTCTAATAACGTTGATTCACAAATGACCCGATCGTAAGTGATGATAACACACGAAGAAGTGTGCCGGTGAATAACGCGACGCTCACGCGATATAATTATTTGCCCGTTCCTCGAGCAAACCGTAAACATGGAAATGCGAGAACAAGAAGGGAAAGAAATGAAGGAGGAAATGGTGTACCGTGTTTCATACACCATTCATAATGCGTTCTGCCACCTGTGCTACGTCGTGACGGTACCGTATGATCCGTAGCTCGACCTCGACGCGAGGTTATGTAATTCGAACGGGTACGCTAACCTCTTCCTTCTCCCGCGACGAGCGGAACGCATCGTCGGATTAGGTGAGGTTACGTGCCGAAGCGGAACAATTAGAAACTGTTGCTTCGTTCGAAGACACGAGGAACGCGTAACGGGGTCGATACCCGTGATCCACAAAGGATTAAAAGCTCGATACATAATAGATCTCTATAGACTGTACTATATTTAATTAAAGCTCAATTACAAAGATTGCCAAGTAAACATCGTCGTGATTCCCACTGTTGATCTCGGCGCACTTGTTTGTCTCCTGTAACGCTAAACGGCTACGTACAAAAATAACAGTGCTATCGAATTTCCGAGAGATCGAAACCAACCTGAAGACATAACATGCAAGCATAATCAAGAATGATTCACGAGATACTCTTCGTTTCAAGATACGTGAATGTAAACAGAAAAGATAATCGAACCGAGAATTTCCTTTACTTCGATTATCTTCAAACACTGACAATAGTTATCACAACAATCTCGTATTCTCGAAAATCTCTTTCGTTCGAATCCACTTGAATGCAACATTTTCATTGACAGATGGGGGTAAACATTCGAGATTTTTTAGCATTAAGAGTTACATCACTGTTCACAATGAGGATTGCGAGACAAAAGTGTATGCACAACGAATCGTGTCGGTTTCGTTAGGATGAAAGATTTTCTTTTGTTTACAGCATGTATACAATGGAAAAAGAGAAAGAGCGCGTGCGCCCTGACAGGGAAAACCTAGACCTTAGCCAGGTTGCCGTTTATCTGTGCTAGATAGATTAAACGTTATCGCGAATTCTCTTACCCGTTGTGCCGAACTGGTCGACCTGGTGAGCACTAGAATTCACTCCCGCACCCCCCAGACCGTCCAGATCCTGCCACATTTCCGAAAACTCGCACTTTCCGAGCACACGCACGCACAATATCACCCACCTTTACTCAAGCGGCGCCATTTTCACTGTTAACTGACTAGCCTTGGCTGAAACGACGTGAACGCCCCTAGCGGCGTCGCAACGAATTAATTTTTTTGTAATCAAAATATAAATGTCTCAAGTTTTCAAATTTTTTGTACACAAAACTAATCTTTCTGATATCATAACATCAAATATAAATTATTTCGTATAATTGACACTGTTATTTCTAGTAAAATCAATTTTTTATATTTTTACTATTAATTATACTTTTTGGAAAAAACTGGTTATTTATAATTATGTACATGACAAATGTATTTGGTGATTCTGTAGTGTAGAAAAGGAAATAAATAAAATAGATTTAATGTCTTTTATACTATTTCTAATTCTATTTTATGAACGGATGATAAGTACGTTATTTTCTTTAGTTACAGATGATACATCTACATTATGTCACAACAGTATACGCAGCAACGTGCATGATGTATGATATAGTCATTTGTGGTAATACCAAGTTGTAGAGAACGTTACGCGTGTGTTAAAGAATTTTCTTACTGTTTTAAGTATTAAATCAAAATAAAAATCAGTAACCATGGCAGAATTTGTAGAAAAACGATGCGAGGATATGATTCCTGAATTAGAACAAATGGAAAGAATCAAACTTTTCGATAGAAATGAAATTCGGTAGGTTAAATCCAATAGGTTAAGATTTGTAGCCACATGCCACATTTGGTTGTTTATATTCATATAATTTATACAGAGGAATTGCGAAAAAGTTAAAAGAATATGAATATAAAATTCAACGAATATCAAAAACCAAAGAAGATTACTTACGGTATATTCAGTACGAAATGGACCTTCTTAAATTGGTTAAGCAACGCCGAGACGTATGTTATCATATTAATAAATTTTTATTCGTTTACAATTGTCCTCGTATTGATGTATAAATACAACTATTTTTTAATTCCATAGAAATTTGGTATTAATCAAAAGAAGTCAGATATTGATCTCATAATTACAAACAAAATGAATCGTTTATATATGGATGCAATATATAAATTTCAAGATGATATTCGTTTTTGGATTGCTTATATAAAGTTTTGTAAGCATGTGGTATGTATTAGAATTATACAAATTGATGAAAACTGTTAATTCATTGATTTATAAATAACTTTATACAACTTTATAGCATTTCCACAATAATGTTAGTCATATATTAGGCAGAATGTTGCAAGTACATCAAGATAAACCTAAATGTTGGCACATTGCTGCACGTTGGGAACTGGAAGAAAATAAGAATAAACATACTGCCCGTCAGTTTTTCCTTAGAGGCTTACATATACATCCAACTTCTCAGTTGTTATTTACTGATGCTTTCAAGTAAACAATTACAAACATCTTTGTATTTCCAAACCTTGAATCATAATTTATATTTCTAATAATTCACATTGAAATTTAGATTGGAATTGGAAGATGCATCAAGTACAGATCAAAAAAATGAAGGTAATAGTGACAGTACATCTGTGAGCACTGATGATGATATGCCTATTGGACTGAAAAGAGCTTACATTATATATCAGCAAGCATCAAAGCGTATTAAAGATGTTAAATTCATAATAGAATTGTTGAACATTACAAAAGAATATAGCAACACGGAAAAATTACAAAATAAAATTGTTAGGTAAAAACAATAGACATTTATAGATAAATGTTAATTACTTTTTAGCTATTTAAGTTTTTTTGTAGTGACATAATACAAGAATATGCCCATGAGCCCTTAATGTGGGATACAATGGCACGGCGGGAATTAGAAGGGCTTGTTCAACCTTCTCTCAGTGATACAACAGTTAAAGTTGACAATACAGAACAGACCTCATTGAGAGATCGTATAACATCTTGCAACAAAGTGTATCAAACAGCAGTTAAAAAAATTAAGACAGAAGAAATGTGGTCCTTGTACATAGAATGTCTAATAGAACTAAATCAAAAAGCAGGGACTTTGCCAAATTTTAAAAGAAAGTTATTAAAAACTGCTTTAATGCAAGCCCATCAAGCTAAAAAATTAAAAGAAAAATATTATTTGTATTGGGTAGGTTAAATATCTGTTATGCATTGCTAGAATAAATAAAACATATTAATATCTAATGATATTGTCATAGATTAATATGTTTAACGTCGACAAAAAAGATGAAGAAGCTGACAAAAAGTTAAAAGAAATTCTTTGTGTTGCAACTGAAACTGTACCAAACAGTGTAAGTCTTTGGCATGCAAGACTAAGATATTTGTTAGTTTCTAATGAAGAAGAAGCTGAGAAACTCTTCCCAAAGGTACAAAAATATTCTTTTTATTGCATGGATCATGTTATATGTGTAAAAATATTTTTCAGGCAATACAAGCCTTAGGAGAAAAATCTTTACCATTGTGGAAAATGAGAATATTGCATACACAAGCAATATGTCCTGAAAAGACTGAAGAAATTTTTCAGGCAGCATTACAAGGACATTCAAGTATTGCTCAAGAATTGAAACCTACTTACATGGAATGGCTAGTTTTAACCAAAAGTATGTAATTACGAATCATAAAATCTGTTTTAAGGTATTTGCATTTTAAAATCTCTTTCAGGTATACAGGCAGCACGAAAAATATACGATAGTCTATGTCTGCAACCACCTTTCTGTCTTGAATTGCATAAGAAAATGATAGAATTAGAACTTATGCAACCGAACATATTGTTAAAAAATATAAGAAAATGCTACGACATGTCGACATTACAGTTTGGTAGAAATAACACCAGTGTTTGGATAAATTATATCACATTTGAAATGAAACACGGTGATCCAAAAAAAGTTGGAGAAATACATGTTAGAGCAGTGAAAACTTTAGAGCCGGCTTTAACAGATTCTTTTATTACGGAATATAGTTTAATTAAAGCTAATCCAAACTCGTTACTTACAACTACATAAGTAATGGATTTACATACAATGATGCACGTACAATGAATCATCGCTAAGTGATGGCCAAATTGACTTTTTATATATTTAGATAATGTGTTTATCCCGACAGAATTACATAACCATTACAGTTATTTATGATTCCAGTGGTATTTCTTTTTCCATACGTGTAAGAACAATATTACGGTCTGTTTCATTAGGTAATCGTGTTCTGTCCCCTGTTTTCAATGTTGCTCTCATGTCTAAGCACATCACATCCGTTGCTAAAGAATGTTGTTTATCGTCCAAATTACTATCAAGCTGCGTAAGTAGACTTTCCAAATTATTATATGCCGCTCTATAAAATAGTAATAAAATAATAAATTTTAATTGCTATTACAACGAAAAGAGTAAGAAATTTCATCATGTAAATCATATATATATTCGGCCTTTCATACTTAGAATCTTCTAAAGTTTTTGTTAGTTTTTGTTCGGTTTCTCGTAAGTGTAAAACTTCATCTCGCAAACCTAGTTCAGCTTCATCAGAACATAGTTCGAAACCAGGACGATAAGTACGATTTTCCAATCTGGTTTCCACGCATTTTATAGAATCAATTTTATATAGCTGTGCATCTTCCAGTCGTGTTATTTCTTTTTGTAAAATTTCAATTTCCTTTTGAATCTGCAAATCATGATCAAATTGTAATTATTCATGGCTATTTCGTGTCTGAAAGTCGTGATTACTTTAAGCCTTTGCCATTCCAACTCATTCCGAGCTTTTTGCGTTTGATAAATTCTTTTGCGTAAACTGAAATCTGTCATATCTTGCTGAGCCTTAATATCATTTCTAGCACGTTCTCTTATTACGTTCATAGCTTCGCGAAAATTATATACATCGCTCAATTCATTATCAGCTAAGGTCTTAGTTTGTTGGCAGTGTTCCAACCAAGCTTCATAAGATATGGAACTGTAACAGCAAAACACATAATTTATGCTTATTATTTGGTATGCTTACTCAAATATTTTATTCTTACTCTTTTGGAATCCTTAATGCATTTGGTTTATAAGTGATATTTGCACATGTGCGATCTAAGCTAAGATTTTCTCTATCTATTTTAATAGATTCATCTTTATCTTCAACTTCTAATTGTACTTGAAATTTAACTTCCTCCAAACGGTTTAATTTCTCCCAAGCAGCTTGCACTCTACATATAAAATAATAATTGCAAATACCTGGTTAAATTTATGTTTCTTATTCCATTAAAAATTATACCTGTCAGTTACTAATTTCTTTATATTTTCAATAACACAAAGTTCTTTCTTTAATTCTGTATCAGCTTCATCATAAGTAAGTTCTGTTCCTCTGCGACAGTCTCTCATAGAAATACATTGTGCAGTCACTTGTAACGGATCATTCAAAGTTTCTAATTCTTTCTCCGCATCAGCTTTCTCATCTTTTAACAACTGTATTTCGCAAACTAATTTATTTAGTATAAGATTAAACACTTCTCTCCACCGGGACAATTCTGTTACTCTGTGATAATTATATTATCCAGTGGATTTTATTATGAGGTTAAAGTAGACTTTTTTCATAAAATTTTAAGCATTCATTACCTGTCCGCGAGACGAGCGTTATTCATATATGAGTCCCATATTGTTTTTACCATTGTTTCTGAGCGAACAATTTGTCCTGAATTTCTTAATTCAAATGCCTCTGCACTTCTGGTAGCTGCATTTTGTTGAAGTTCCCATTGCCTTGCATACCAGTCTGCTAATCCTGTCAAATAAAATTTTATACTTCAGACAGGAATTAGATCAGTGATTCTTAAAATATGAGTCATATTAATTATTAAAATCTAAAAAGTTTAAAAATAGTAAATTGACATTTTTTTTATTAAACCCAGTTCTTTTTGAAAATATTTATTTCCGAAAGTGAATTTTGCCCAACCAAATTTTTAGGAGCCCTGAATTAGATTATTAACGTTTTTTCGAAATATATTGAAATATTACCGAACAAAGGAATATACTTGAAAATATCAATAGCTGCAGCATTGAAATAATACTTTACCTACCTATGTGTGGTAGAGGTTTTTCGTACGTGGTCGCTGACTTAGCCATAATTTAATAAGAAAAAATTAATAACGTCAGAAAAGCTCGATAAAAAATATTAGCCTAACGGAGAGAAAGGAGAAAGTTAGGATCAGTTACCACAGCAACCAAACATCAAACATTAAAGTTAATATTGATTTATTTTATTTGCTTTATTTCGTAATTAGGAACAATTAATAATTAGATTTAAAAGGTCGAATCTAATTTAATTGAAGAAATGAAGAGTTATAAACAAAGATGAAAATGTACATCATCGAATTGTACTCTATCATAAATCAGTACCGGTTTTATATTGCGGTTATAACTGACGTAACAACGAAAAATATTCTGTTTTTGTTTACGTACAAAGACCACTTGAGATTTCTCGAATACATTAGTATAAATTTTCAATACAAACATTAAGGGTGGAGATTTTACATCAATTATTTATTTGAAATAACAAAAAAATGTTAAGTAAAAATTGCAATACAGGTGTTTTTAAGTCAAGACATAAAATATATAGCTTCATCGAGTGCCAACAATGGTACTCTATACTAGCATGATTAGCAGTCTAAGGGTGTGTTTAAATTAAGCAAGCAAATGGTCATTTTTCTCCATTTCGACAAAAGTTGAGCCTAAATTAGCATTCTTCCATTATAAAAATAATCGGTCATCGAATTAATTCTACGAAATTTAATTCCGTGTAATTCAGTTCGACCCATTTTAATTCCATGAGATTCAATTTGGTACCATTCGATTCCACGAGATTCAATGCGGCACTATTCAATTCGACATGATACAGTTCACCATATTGAATATTCGGATACTTCGCTTAACGCCTTCGATTCCAACTGTCTTTTAAAGCACGTTTCACAGAGGTGACGATCCTGTGAAAAATCGTTCGAATATAAAAATACATAAAATTAATGTCTTAGTGAGTTTACTCTTAAATACAAGAGTAATAAAAACATAATACGCTAAGATGGAATCGCAGAAAGCTGTGTTAACTTCAAAGTGCATTTTACGTATTCTACTGAAAAATGAGACTCATCAAATTCTACGAATATTTTGATCAGTTTGCTCGTGCTCATTTAAAGTAACTAATCACGAACGAATGCTTTTGGTCATGCATTACTCTTGCTTTCGCTCTTACACTAAACGCTCTTGTCTGTTTAGTATGAACGTCCCCTAACCCGGTGCAATCGCTTTATAGCATCAAGTAGATACCACCGTTGGCACGTTACCACATGCAAAGTTATTTTCCTTTCTGACACGAAAAAAAGAACCTACGTTGCAACTCTTTTTTGAACGTTTACCTAAGGAAAATATCTGTCCCGGCTTTAAATATTAACTTTTTTAAATAAACTAAAAAGTATTCCAAGAAATTAATATAAAATCATTACCTTGCTACATTTAAATATTCGTAACGTATTTTTCATCGACATCGATGTATCAAAAATATTTTTACGAAAACAAAAATTAAGTAACTTTTGTAACTAAATAGCAAAATTTTTTCAAAATTCGAAAATTTACATATATTTCGACAGAGAAAAACGATTTAAGGATTCGTGATCAATGCATAAAATTCAATAAGAATCTCACAATGGGTATCGGAACGGGTATTGGTTGTTGAAAGTCGCGGAACTGTTGAAAGACGGATGGATTACCACGCGTTGAATTCCCGCGCAAATGATAGAGATAACGCTTATAAACTTTGAATGTTTTATTAGAAATATAAAAATATAAGTTTACAATATTTAATCAATCTATATCATTTGTACCTGTAAGAATATATTAAACGACGTTTTCGTAAGAAAATTAACTCTGAATCAAACGGACTTACCATTGGCTCTGTGATATGAAACGTTTAGTGCGCATGCTCCTATAGCTTGCTATGCATCGCGCCAAGCTGATGCCATATTGTTTACGAGACGCGCGCTACTGTCGAGAGACGAGTCAGGACAAGTAAACGTATATCGAGCAGTCGGTCCAGCGTGTCAATCTCACCGGTTTATTATCAAGGTACAATTCATAAAATCATTGAAACAATACAATTATTATAACCTCCTACCATATGTGGGATTAGTATGCGAAGATTGAGTACCAAAAGCAAGCGTAAGAAATCCGAAATGTGGAGTGAGAGTAGTTCGGAGGAAAATGGCGTCGCGCGTAATATAACCGATAGTGATGACAAAATGAAGGCAGGAAAGGATAACGAGAACGCGGATACGCCACGTAGAGGTAGCGCAAAAAAGCGTCCATCTCGCGGACGCCATAGCCAGAAAGAATCACTCGATAATACGAACGAGAGAGCGGAAGATGAAGATACTCAATCTGCCGACGCTGAAGAAGAAGAAAAGAATGCGGAAAAGGGTGGAGCGAGTAAGAAGCTCAAGAAAGAAGATCCGAAAGGTGCTTCTATAAAAGATGGAAACAAAAAAGAATATGAGGTATAATATAACATAATACATCTAAATACATGTATATCAAGCTTGGTAAGTTCGTCCTGCAATGGCAGTCATTTACGTATCAAGAGACGCGTCGTTGGTGACCGGTGTTAGCATTGGAAACCGCGAAAACTGTATTTCATATGTAGTACTTTATGAATATTTTCATTCTTTTTGTTTCTTTTTTTGCAAAACTATTATAGACTTAAATAATTAGTAGTGCTTTGTGACGCCGTTTATGAAGGGGCGTAGGGTATATATTGAATGGAGTGCATGCGCGCGTACTTATCTGAATGTGGGAAGACTAACATAGCGGGTTGTTTGAATTCCAGCCCGCGCTTTAGAAAACTCCATCATAGGTTATAAAACATTTTAATAATACAATTGAAATTTTCTTGAAATACTTTAAAACTATCTGACTATTAGCTGGGCATCATCTAGATAAAAAATTATCTTAACGATTGACATGAAAGATATTTTATCTGTTCTACTGCGACTTAGATAATTTTTTTCATCTAGATAATGACCGACGCCTCATATCCGGTTATAAATTCGTGACTATAGTACATATTATATTTATCTAGATACTTCTAAAATTCGTAAATAATTTGATTTTAAAACTTTTTAAGCTTGAAATATTCCGAATTTCAACTAGCATGAGTTGAAAATGTTTTGAGTTTGAAATATTTTATACTTAAAGTATTATGAATTTGAAACTTTTTCAGTTTGAAACACTTAAAGTGTAAAATATTGTGAGCATTTAGAATTTTGAATTTGATGCATTTCAAGTTTGAAGCGATTGCTGGCGGAATTTTCTATACTCAAATATCTGTATTTGCCGCGTATCAGCGCCCTCTCGCAGACATCGCAATATTTGAAAACTGCATCTACTGTTGGACGCGCGGATGGATTCCGGCTTCGATTTGATTTGTTCCTTTTAACAACGTAGTTTTAGAACTTATCCTGTAAATATCTTATTAGTTATATATATGTATGTTCATATATACATGTATATATGATTGCGTAAGGTGAAATAATTTAACAATTTGATATATTAATAATAATTATTAATTAGTAATTTTTTAACTTAATTTTAAGGTTTCTCTTTTCTATATTTTCATTTCAAATTGCAGTATATAAGCGTAAAGTAAATAAGTAATACAGTCGTAATGTATGTTGAATACAGCATTGGAATATTTGAAATAATAATTGTGTTGATTAGGTCGAGAAAATTATGGGGCAACGTACCATTAAAGGTCGGCGCCAATTTTTAATTAGATGGAAAGGTTATGGTGCTGATTCTGATACATGGGAACAAGAAGAAAACCTTAACTGTTCACAATTAATTGAAGAGTTTCTAGCTGAAGATGAAGAAAATCAGGAGGACACTAAGACAAAAAAATCTGAAAATTCTGCGAAATCGCCGAAAAAAGCTGCAGAATTAGACCGAAAATCTAAAAAATTGAAAAACAGTCCAAAAAAGAGAACAGAAAATGGTATAACTTGATGCTAATAATTTTTAGATTGAAAATAACAAAATTTCTTGTTTATACAAAATTACATTTTTAATTATTTATAACTTTCAGATAAACAGATAAGTTCAGATGATGCAAAAGATGACAAAGATGATCAAAAGGAATTTGAAGTAGAGAAAATTATTGAAGTACAATATAAGAAAAATAAGAACAGAGAATTTTTAATCCGCTGGAAAGGTTTTACATCTGCAGACGATACCTGGGAACCAGAGGAAAATTTAAATTGTCCTGAACTAATTGCTAAATTTATGCAGAAAGTAGAAAAAGCAAGAAGTACTGAAGCACGTGAACTTAGAGCAAATCGTCCTCATACAAAAAGATACACATTGACTACACATGAACATGGAAGAAGATTATCCCGAAGAAATATGGATAAACAAAGGTAATTTTTAAAGTAGTTGGAATTTATTTCTATACCATTGTTAATTTATATGTCCTTTTTTTGTTGTTTTACAGAGCTACGTATCATGAGTGTGATGAATAAATGGACATAAAATAACAAGGTCACTTAAAAGTTCATATACATATGTGTGTATGCATGTATGTATATACTTAAATACATACGTGTTTTGTAGTGTTACAAAAAAAAATGACACATGTTTAAAAAGTAAAGCATAAATCAGTTATTTTGAACATAAACTTTTAGTATACATATATGTACATAGAAGTTAGGCACTAATTTTGTGATTATTGAATCATTCAGTCTCTTATAATATTTTAAATTTTACCATGCTTTATGACATTTAGTGATTTTACGTTATACAATATTGAAATTGTGTACATAACCAGATGTAAAGAATGTTCAGTCCACCACATGGATAATATGGAGTTATCATTTCTCAATGTCTTTGTTGCGAAACTTGTCGCGAAAGGTCTTTAAAATGATCTCAAAATTTCCTGAATGTATAAATATAATTCGCGCTAGTTTTAAACAAAGTTAGTGCCTGGTTATCTATATGTATTTAGTATATATGTTTAATTTTAAAATTGACCATTACAAAAGTTCAACTATTTAGTCATTTTTAAGTTCATTAATGATTTAATTCATATAATCGATAATGACGTATAATGTTGTAGTACTTTTATACCTTTTTTCATGAATTGTATATGTCCGTAGATCCACAGATCAATGTTTGGAAATTCTGTTATAAAATCTTGAACAAATACGAAAGAAATTAAAAATATAATACCAAATAATACTTTTTAATGAATACACAGTTGATGAATTATAAAAGACTTAAAATGCTTCATTTTGTTGAAAATATATTACTTTGACTTATTTAAAAAGTGGAATTAGTTAATTACTCTAATAATTAGGTTAAGATGTATTTACTACAAATTTAATAAAAATTTATTCCTATTATAAATCTTATATAAATAATTCTAAAAAATGTAATTTTTAATATCAAACAAACATTGTGTATTAAACAATTATTAAGCATTTATATATATTATAGAACGGTTAATCTGATTAAATTAAAAAATTACTTTTTGTAAAGTCTTTGTGAACAAAACAAAAAATATAGAAGTGTATAATGCTTTCAAATGTTTCATTGTGTAATCCAGGAATTTTTACCAATGTGAAGAATCAAAATAATAACGTTATTATACAAGTTTCTTGGAATTATCATTTTTTGCAATATAGTATTATATTCAAATTAAACATATGGAAGTGAGACGGACTGAGATGGAAATATATAAAACCAAAAAAACATATTATGATGTTCTCAATCAAGCTAAAAATGATTCTGATAATTTTTGGAAAATATTTATGACATTATGTGTTCTCTTGATTTCGATTATCATATTTATAACCTGCTATCGTTATATCTGTGGAAAGATCATTTGTATTTGCAAAAGGTTCATTAATTTTTAATACACTACATTACATATTATTATTTTCATTATATTCATACATGTACATGTATGTTTAGTTATTGGCAAAATACTAAAATTACATTAATAAAGATGTTTCACATGGCGAAATAAAAAACACAATATCGATGACAACTTTTTTGTAATAAAAAGCGAAAGAAACCGTTGTATGAAGCGACGATTTTTGTGGCCTGATGGATGTAATATTTCGAAATCCCGTATAAAAGTTAACAGTCAAAAAGATAAATTATGCAAAACTAAATCACATAGTATCGAGATTCCTTTGCAGGTATATAAAAAAAAGTTTGTTTACACTCTACAAAAACATCGGGTCGTTTATGTCATGTTACCTTTCTTTAGATTTTCAAAACATATCGAGAAAATTTTTATATATTTAACAAAGTGTTTTCAATAAAATTGATGTTCGATATTAGTGATGCCATCAATGACCCCTATCGTAAACGAAGGGTTACACATTATATGTATTTGCTACTAATCATTTAATCTTTATAATTACATTTGCAATTAGGAAACGCAAAAATTACTTTCTTCTTGCGAAGATAAAGTCATAACCTCTAATAGCAATGTAAATTTAACAAAACGATTATTTTTAAAATTATCTGCCTTATCATCTAACATTAATAATAAAGTCAGTGACAGAACATCTAATAATAAATATACCCTTGAAAATGTAAAAAATGAATTATGCATTCGAAGAGGAAACAATTTTTACCAAAATTCACAGAAGGTATCATGGAAAACATTAATATTTATAATTTATTTGTACTGTATACCACTGTCTTCTTGTTTCTAGGACGAAAAAAATACCTGTTTTTCAGATACGGATCTGAAATTTCTAGTAATATCTTCAAAAAAATCTAATGAAAACAAAAACAGGTACAAGAAAATACTGTTCTGTAAATGGAATTCAGGAAATATTAACAGTTACAATTTACGAAACAATACCAGTTCGAAGCTAATAGAACTGAAATGCGCAAATAAAGATACATTCAGTAATAATATTCCAAAATATGAAGCATTTAGGTCTAAGTCAAATTGTTTACCTAGTTCTCTTCTGTTAAAAAGTTTGGCTACCAATTCATTTTCAGATTCTGTAGCAAATGAATCGAATATTTTACTGAACTTTCCTGCCTACACTAATTCTACAATGTCGAGTATATCTAAAGTAGTTGAAGTAAAATCCGAAGAAAAATCTTTTACACATGTTAATCCCGATATAAACAAATTACAAAAAATAGAATCAAATGAATATAACGTGCATTCGAAAAAAATGAAAATGAAATCGTCAGCAGATATATTAAAAAGTCAAATCAAGGAAATAAAAATTCCTGAAAGAAAAGTTAAGTCGGAAGATAACCTGATGATTCTCGCAATTAAAAATGAAAATACCAAAGATTTCATTTCCATCCCTGAAAAAGATACTGAGAGTCTGTCCTCTCCTCCAAATCATAGTTCGGAAACCAATGAAATTTATGACGAATTAGGAATATTATTTTCACAGTATATGAAACTTCAAATAAAACCGTGTAAAAGAAACTACTGCATTCGGACACGACATTTAAAAAGAATACAACATAGCACAAAAAAATGTCATACAAAATTTAATTACCATCAAATATATTCTTACGATCAAAGACCAATGTGTAATTGTGGAAACATATGTGAAGATACATATGATGAATTACAGTTAATGTTTACATTAATGTCGGAACGGAAAAACATTTATCAACGTATGTTTACAAGAAGAAAGAAATTCTTGAACCAGCCATGCATGTCAATTAATTAAGAGTTTGTAACTAAATAATGTTACAGATAACAAGTATATATTTTGTACTATTTACTTTTAGAATATATGCTTCCATTTTCATAGTGAATATTTATGATGAAATGGTACAAAAAATAAATATATGTACATTTAAAACATTACTTTATTTGATTAATTACATACGTTCACTTCTTTTTACTTCCTTTACTTGAAGACCTGAAAAATATATTTATTATTAGAAATAAGGAATAAATGAAATTTTTCTAATTTTTCTTTTTTCAAAAACCTTGATTATAATAAATCATGTTTAATTTATCTACTAATATTGGAAAAAATACCTGGAGGTAATGACTGTTTCAATTTTTCTGCCTTTTCCTTGTCTGTAATTACGAGGGTATACAAAAATCTTGAACATCTGACTTTGAATTTAACATTTTCTGAGTTCTTCTTTATTTTTACAGCTATAAGATCGCAAGAGAAATAAGTTATTTATGAAATACTAAAACATTATTGTATTTAAGAAAGTACTCACACTTAGCATCCTTCCTTCTGGCTTTCAAAAGGAAATCTTTGATTTCTTTAATTTCTCGTGGCTAAAAAGAATCACAAATTATTAAAGCAATTGTATAAAAATCATTTAGAGACATTATATTTACATACATTAATGTATTATAAAATTGGCCATTGTTATTTGTCATTACATTGAGGTTATGTTACGAAAATTACTGCAATTAGAAGTATTTCAAGTAAAACTTAATATATAATAGTTTATTCCAACTAATAAAATTAATGATATTAATTTTAATTAGTCATTATAGTAATAAACATAAAGCAATAATGAATACTGAACGTATACTTACCATCGTGAGAGTAAAATGGGCAGAAACAGAATAACCTGGAATGATCGAGAAAAACAATTACAGTTTAGTTCGACTCTAGTCTTTTCTAGAAAACGAATATGATATGTACTTTTATAGTATTTATATGTAATAAGTAGTGGAGAAAAGAAGGGATTCCTTGTAAAAATATGGATTTCCAAAAGTGATTAAGAAAAATTCAGCATACCTTTCAAAGTTACTACCGGAAAAAGGACAAGTGCGGCTCAAAGTGGCATCAAATCAGCAACAAAGTATTATTGAACATTCAGATTTGAGTAATTTAAAATAAATTTTATAAGAAGAATAGTTGACTATAATAGTTGATTAACTTTACAATAAAAAGATATTTTTAATAATTTCAGATAAAAATATATACTGTTTTTCAAAATATTTTTAAAGTTGGCGCTAGCTGTGTTAAGTTACGTGGAATTGGTGCGTATATATATATATAAATCCCACACACACTGCTTCGTCAGTCAACTTTTCGTACTGCTGTCGCGATTGCGATTCATGTAACGGAGGTGTCTGACGGTAGAAGTTTAAACACAATTGAAACGATTTTATTTTATGTTATATAGAAAAGTAATTTTCTACTTTATAAACATATAATTATCGAGGTAATTAAATAGAGAATAAATTGAACATTTTTTAAAAATGGATAGCCCGTTACCGCATATTATGGAAAGTGCGGATTGTGATGGTTCTTGTAAACCAAAAGACAGGTTAGTTAGTCTTCTGGATCAGATTGAAGTACACGTAGAACAACTAAGAAAAGATGCTTGGAGACTTGAAGAAGAAAGGGATACTCTTCTGACTACTTTAGACACACTCAAAAACAATGAAATTTTAAGCGGATTAGAAGAAAGTAAGTATTTATTTTACTTGGATTAAAAATGCAAGGTCGACGATAGTATATCTAGAAATATCTTTATCAAGACCTTCGATATTTCTATGTAGGAGTCTTGGGATTTGAAAAATTACTCTGATATTAAATTATTATCTTTGCTTTATTCTTACATATGTTACATATCAACATAAACTCTTTTGACTAACTACTCAATTAATACAGCTACATAGATACAAAATACTTTTAACATACTATAATGTTGATACATAAGGTAGTAATATATTGTTCAATGAATAACATCTGCATTGTATATTGTTTGTGTTTAATACTGAACAAATTTTATTTGAGAACATTTGAGTGGTTTGTAATGTTTACAACTATAAATGACAGTACATTACAATTTGTTACCTGTGATTTAAAAAATTAATTTCTATTGCATTACAATATAATTACTGCATTGAAGTAACATAAGTTCATATAATAATTTATTATTTACAGCTGACAGAGATGATGTACTAAGGTATGCTGAGAGATTATCTTTGAGATGTTTAACGGTTGATGTTTTAGTCAAAATTCAACGTGACCAAATTCAACAAGAAGCATTACATCAGGTAATTTGAATGAAATAATTCTTTATGAAAGTAATTACACGTGTCTGTTGAAAAGTAAATTTTAGTAAAAGTTGTTTTCTTAAATCAGGTAAATGGTTTGATTGATAGTTTAGTCATTAGTCTACGTGATGATCCAGTTGGAACTCGTCAACGTTGTGCATCTTTTATGAATGCTTGTACTTCACAAAGTCTTGGACATTCTGATAAAAATTTTGAAACTGCCATTCTTGGATGCACTATGGATGATCAGAAACGGATTAAGAAAAGATTACAGGGTTTATTGGATTACATAGATAAAATGCATACAATTCAGCTACTATGAACCCCTGTTTGGATTATTTCATATTGAAAAGAAGCAGACAAATTACTCTTCAAAAGAACAACTAGATAGTCGTTCCATGGGAGATAAGAAAAATAAAAGCTAGTTATATTCGAGTATTTGATGATTATGCAGTGGTGATATTTATGGTAAATATAAAGAAAGTGTCACTTATACTACCTAAGTGATTTATCTTCTCCTGATATGCTGTGACTTACTGTGTCTCGCTACTTACTCAAATAAGCTGCTGTACACTTTATATTTGCAATTGAGCATTACATAGTGATTAAAAAGTCTATCATTATATGTTAAAAGAAATGGAATACAGATTCTAATGATATTAAAACAATATGGCTTTAAAATATTTGTATTTTAAATACTATTGGAGTTTGTAATATAATAGTGTAGAAATAATTGTATTTCATGCTATATTGACCATTTATTGCATACTATATTTCTGACAAAATTAATTCAGATTTTATGTACAGTCTGGTATATTTTTTAAATTTTCTTTAGTTTATATAAGAATTAATTATTCATTTTTTTTACTTTGTTATTTATGGATTATTTATGATGCAATAGTTTATCACCAGGCTGGTTTAATAAAATAATCTTTATTCTTGTTTTTTGTATAAATTCGATTACAATGTTCTTGAATTCTAATGTCACCTGTTGGGCGAATTTATTGTATCCTGCGACTGAATTAAGATTTATCAAAATTCGTACGATAAATTTTGTATATTTTCCGGCATTTATTTGTATTTAAAATTCTTTTGTAAGGCATTGTTTAAAATATATTATTTAAAAATCGTAATATTTTATTTTTATTTGTTTTTGATCGTTATCATTTACAAAAAAAGAGTATTTCTGTCAACATAATATTTTCTTTCTTACAAGCTAGAATATTTGGTTAGCCGTTATATCGATATCTGTTTACACATAAATTAATATTTGTATCTTCTAATAATTTCAAACAATTTAAGATAATTTTTAATTTAAAAGAGATAACCATGTATTACCTTTACTGATCACTTGTTACAGCTGTTTAAACCCAATGCGTAACTCAACATATAAAAAGACATAGTTACATTCATTTTTAACGCTCATCATTAACACATACAAGTTATATATGTACAAAAACTTGACATTGGTAAAAAAAATTATTCTATTGGAAACTAAAAAATTGTACGCATAAAACAGTAGCGTGCTTCAAATACGCGTATGTACACAATGTTGGGAAGTTCGAGAAGATTAAGAATATCCAATAAGAAAATTCAAAGTATAAAAATGCTCTAATGTTACATTACAAAGTGTGCTGCTTAAAACATCATTCATTTGTCTTTTTCACTTTGTACTTTGTAGTATAATTTAAGAATTCTAGAATGCATAACTTTTTTCCTAGAAAAAATTTGCACAAATAAATTCTCTATCGATTGCACATAGAAATTGAACATATTCATTTAACATATTAAACATTTAAAGTTTTCATCGAAATAATGCAAATTATAACATCAACCAGATCTTCTATGCATTTATAAAAAAAATGCGAAACGGGAAACAACTGACAGAGCAATATTGTTTGAAGATAAATCATGCAGCTTATTTGTCTATCTGTTATGAATGCAATACTGTACGTTGTATTTGTTTTATAACAATAAATGTTTAAACCAATTAGAGTGTACGTTGTCGCAACAATCATAAAGAGAAAGAGCTATATATCATTATAAATAGTATGAATATCAGTCTGTACATGGTTAAAGTATTCATTACAATTTCTTGCGTACGTACTTATATACGCAAAAGACTAAAGTAGTATACAAGCGTTTTTTACGAAATTCTTTTTTTTATGATTCTTTGTCTTGGCTCCTGGCCGTAGAACTATGGTACCATTCCCTGTATTCCGACCACACGTAGATCCGTTTGGACTAAAAGCACCTGCAACAAAATATCGACAAAATGTACATACACATACATACATACATACATACATATATTTTTTCATCAGCTGAAAAAACTGCAGTCGGTGTGGAAAAAAATAATTAACTGTTTCTTTAGAGTACAATATTTTACACTCCATTTCATCCTCATAATAGTAATAAGATAGATGCGTATTATGATTAGTGTATTCTATTGTCTGTACATCTGTTACGATCGTTTAGACTATTCATTGTACAATTTATGTTAATAAAACAAAACTGTTACGCCTAATAAATCAATTTCGCGTATGTTTACACGATTATACTTTATCCAGTGCTGACCTTTTCTACATATAAATACGGACTATAATATTCGTCTTTACAATACAACGCTCGAAGTTAACTAGTTTTATTTTACCTAGAACCATTAATACACAAAGCGAACAGTTCATCCTTTGGGTAACGTCCGACAGCACGTGAAAAATATGCTGCCTTCATACATGTATACATATACATTGGTACCTTATTCAAGAATCTAGATCGATGGTTACGGTCACGCGATCTAAAGATGTGTTTACACTTCACAAGAACGTCTGTATATGAAATTCTTACAATTACTTCTAAAGAACTTCTTATCGACAAATATTCCTGATAATCTTTCACCCGAAAAACTCTTTTGTGAGGATCAATACAGTTCTATACAATTCTAAATTATTAACTAATATTTCATGTTAAGATTGTTGCGTGATTCCTGTATAGGAAGACAGTCGTTGATCAAATACTGGACAAGGTAGATCCGCGAAATCTGGGCTAACATTCGACCCATTCTTCTGTGCTATGAATTCGATTTCTTTTACTTTTATTCGGTCACCGACAAGAAATCAAGTTTATTCTCACAAATGACAAATGTCACTTTTCTTATACGAACATAACTGTTTTAACTGTAATTAGTGAAATCTTAATTCGGTATTGTATTTATTCTGGAATCCTGGTGACTCTTAGGGCTCCACACGTTATTTTAGCACCGATGGCTACAAGTAATATAAGATAAACTGATATAAATACTTTCCCTTACGTAATTCCGATAATTTTAATGCAAATGAATTTTTGTTGGGTTTACAAGGCGTCGGGCCAGAAAGGTTGAAGACGAAAGTATCAGGATCAACTGAACCTGCAAGCATAAGCGTGCGTATCCGGTGCAGTTAATACATTATGCATCTTCTTGAAGAGTTTCCAAGAAAGCGCAGTGTTCTTTTTGCACGGCTATTACAAGGCTAAACAACTGGTCAGTGTCTGTATCGGATCTACCACGTGTGAATCGACTATATTGTTTTCCTTCGCACAGATCCAAATCAGGTGCACGAGTCGTGTTTGGAAGCATCTCTAGAAGTGCATAGAATGAAAATAAAGCTGATAAAAAAAAAGAAAGGTTTATGTACATTTATGTCGTTAAGTTTAGGTACTAAAAGAAGCTTTCTTAAAATTTACCTTTCCAAGTTGTGGAATTTTTAAGTTCACATTTCTAAATTTCTAAAATTCATGTTTAACGTTTGACGATGCTTATAGCAAAGGTCGTGACCCACGGAGACAAATTTTAGCTCCGCCAATGTTTATGTACTTACTTATTACAGAAGGAGATCTAGGCCCGGCAGAATATAATCTCAGATCGTCCTGATAATCGTCGTCACAGCGGCGCATCTCGTGGAGACATCGCGACGCCAGATGCCGGAAGACACTCATAACACCGACATCCTCTTTCACGGAGGTTCTTAGAAGCTTACAACCTAGAGCACGACCAAGTCTCTCAGCCTCGTCCCTGGAACAATGGTATGCGCTCGAGATTTCGCGAAATCGCGAACCGCTAATTAAAGAAGCTAGGTGTTACGCTTACGGATCAATGACGCACTGATCAACGAGGTCCATCTTGTTTTGTACAAGAACCGTGGGAATTTCACCGCACTCGTTTTCCACCTGCAAAGTAAAAGAAAACGTTCCTTTATCAGTCTGCGAACCCGGATTCGATGTTTTTCTAATTAACGCTAACAAACTTCGACTATCTTTGTGAACATTTCGTGTATACGCATGTTTTTCCATGTTTCTAACGACCTCTTATTATACTAAATTCCTCTACGAACTTCTTCCAAATACGACAATTAACGATGAATTCTCAGCAATTGACGCAAGTAGAATTAAATGACCACGTGATGGATTGCCCATTAATTTTGTATGAGCAGTGGAGAATGTAAGAACTTGGTATTTCACAACTTCTTGATCTTTAAGACAGCCAGTGTCCCTTACTTGTAACATTCTACTATGCTATTAAATATCGTCATGTATTTGTCAGCTGTAATCCATTTATCTATTATCCATTTATAACTAGATCCATTATCCATTTATAACATAACATTAAGTTAAGTCAGAACGATGGTTTCGAACATCTATATCAGGCAAATAACAGTTTTGAGCAGATCAGTGGTGACAACCGTTCAGGACGATTTGTACTCGTTCCAACCGCAGTTACACCTTTCTCGTCTGTTTCTCTGTAGTGTAATAAAAAAAGCAAACATACAAGTTTCTTCGAAAGGAATTCGAGAGCGTGTTCGATGATCTCGAACGATGATCGGAATCGTCTACGACTAACAGAACCGCCGCTAAAAATACTTGTTATATATACTTGCTTTTATGTCGCGTCTATGAAATTTCAATCAGTCGAATCGTTAAAGTACTTCATGTACTGTTTTGTCTAGAGTATACATGCAAGAAAGAAATCGCTGCAGAAACACCATATAAAACAACCGTCCTGTGAGAGAGTATACATTTAAGGTATTACAGTTGCTAGCTACCACAACAATCGCGTGCATTCTCTACTTTAAACTCGTTTCATACCATCGTAAAGGAAAACCAGAAAGATTCTGTATACTTATTACGAACCGTGATAGGTAAAATACAACCAGAACTACCGCCAAAATGCAATAAGAGAATATTCGATACTATGGTCAACCGGCTAATACACAACTCATCCCGATCAGATTATTCTGTACACGGTGTTCCTCAAGTACTAGCTCGTTGATGGAGGTACATATTGTAAGAGAAACAAGTACAACCGCGAATTGTTCACGATTTTGAAAACAGATGACACAAGTTTCAGATGTGTTTAATTCCCAATGAGTCTCAAAATATAAGTCCCAAAAAAGTGAATCTAAAGTGCATTCTCCCAAAATTAGATATAAATGTAGATTAAAATGGAACATCGTGTACAAACTTCTTACATTCAATACATTTTCCTATCTACAAGAGAAAGTGTCCCACCTCTTGTCTCTACAACATTGTCTCTAAAAATTGGGTACAAAAGTGTCTCTACAAAATTGTCTCTAAAATTACAAATTGTCTACAAAAGTGTCTCTACAAAATTGTCTCTAACAAATTGTCTCTACAAATTGTCTACAAAAGTGTCTTTACAAAATTGAAGTTGACATTAGAAATTGTAATTGGTCAGCGATTGTGGTAAACATAAGAAGTATCTTCGTCGATGGACAGTTGAAGGGAACACGTAGATCGCAAAATGACCTAAGACCTTGCGTCGCTATCCGTGGAAAACATTGAACAGTGGAACGACTTAAAATCAGCCCTTGCTTTAATGGCACCTTCACTTTCACATTCCACCATCCGTCGTGACTACCTACGGAAACGTGCTTGCACCGGTTCGGCACCGTTGTATATGTCTCGTGTGCACAAGTCGTACCTTCAGCTTCCACGAAGGAATGGCGTCGAAGGAATCTCTGTCAGTGGCTGAATAAGCGAGGACGCAGGCATGGGCGCCGCGATAATAAGCCGCGGTGATTGCGTCGAATTCCTCTTGACCTGCAGTATCCCACAGCATCAGCCTGACGTCCTCGCCATCCACCCTATGAAGAAAAACGCGAGTTTAGAAAATTCCTGATAAAATGAAATTCATTTCCAATGTCAGTAAATTATGAAACTTGCGATAACATTAAATTACGATAATTTAGAACATATTGGGCTTATCATAGAAGCCTTATAATAAGATCAATCTTTTCACCCCCATGTTCCTACTAATTTCTATTACAATAATTTGTAACAATTTTCTTGATTATAAGTTGTACAAGTTTATACTTTCAATTTTTAAGTTAAACTTCGACGGAGGAATGTTCGCCAGGTTGTAGATTCGTGTGAAAACAGCTTAGAGTCACAAGAGGTGAAAACAGTAGCTGCAGTCGTTTACGCGTACCAGCTGTTTGAAAACGTGCTAGCCTCCTGTTTCGCGAACGGGAACTTACTGACATGAATTACGGCGCGTCTGAACTTCTGAAAACATGATAGCCTCCTGTTTCGTAAACGGGAACTCATTGAGATGATTTATACCCCATAACTTACGAAACTGTGCTAGCCTTCTGGTCTTTTCGCACGTGATTTGTATAACGCCGAGCAAAATGATACCGTAATTATAAATTAAGAAGCAGCCATTTTGTATTAAAAATATTTATATAATTATTTTTGTGGAACTTGAAATTCTCGATCGATGCACCGCAAGCATTTCGTGACACTTTTAAGCTATTCAATCGTGACTTTCGATCTTCCAAAATCGATAATTAAATATGCAACAACCTAATGCTTCGCAATAAAGTAGCAGAACATGTACTCGTAATAGTTCTTGACCTATAAATGAATTAAAATCGGCAGAAACTCGGTCGCGACGAAGGTCACCGATATCAGTACAAATATGCTTTAAACACCCGGTGCATATGCATGAAATTGCTCCGTTTACATTACTTTTTTATACAGTTTCCAGGAACGGAAAGCCGGGTCAACTTGCGTTTCACGAAAGCAACCGGAGACCCATCGATATTGGCACATAACTGAAACCGTACGCAGCACCGTTTAAGTTTAAATCCACGATCTACTTAAGTAGCGTGAAAAGGAAAAAGAGAAAACTCGACCGCATTTCTCCCGAATAAACCCATCAGTTGATGCGTGATCATCCATTATCGCATTCCGTTACTTTATTCGACTAAATTACTTCAACATACACTCGTTAGCCGTTTTTATTGTCCGACGTTAATAAATTATGACGACTATCGTACATGTGAAATGCTTCGATAATTTTCTGTTCATCCATTGAATATTGCGTTTTATTCCTGTGCATGGAGATATTAGACATAATTGTAACGGTTGTAACGCGTGGCGATATAGGGCGAGGAAATGCAACGCGCAGAAATATAGCCTGTGATGATATAACGCGAGGAAATACAACACGTGGCGATATAACGCGTGGAAATACAATACGTGATAATACAGTGCGTAGAAATATAACGCTTGGCGATATAACGCGAGTAATATTCTACGCGGCAGTATCGATGAGTGCAAATGCAATACGTGACAATACAGAGCGTGGTGATATAGTGCGAGGAAATATAACGCGTTGCGGTATAACGCGAGTATCACACCACGCAGCGATATAACGCGTGGTAATACAATACGTGGCGATATAACGCGAGTAGTACACTATGCGGCGATATAACGCGAGTATTACACCGCGCGGCGATATAGCGCGTGGTAATACACTACGCGGCGATATAACGCGAGTAATATTCTACGCGGCAATATCGATGAGTGCAAATGCAATACGTGACAATACAGAGCGTGGTGATATAGTGCGAGGAAATATAACGCGTTGCGGTATAACGCGAGTATCACACCACGCAGCGATATAACGCGTGGTAATACAATACGTGGCGATATAACGCGAGTAGTACACTATGCGGCGATATAACGCGAGTATTACACCGCGCGGCGATATAGCGCGTGGTAATACACTACGCGGCGATATAACGCGAGTATTACACTACGCGGCAATATAGCGCGAGAAATACAATACGTGGTGATACAGTGTGAGGAAATACAGTACACGGCGATATAACGCAAGTAATACACTCCGTGGCCATATAGCGCGAGAAATACAGTACGTGATAATATGGAGCGTGGAGATACAGTCTGTGACGATATCACGCGTGAAAATATAGCGAGTAATATAAATCGTGATATAACGCATGGTAATCCAACTGCCGCATTATAAGAACAAAATCGCTATCGTGTAAACTAAGCAACTTGTAAGCCGAAGAAATGCTTATCAAACATTGTGCAAAATAATACAATAGAAGTATACCGAAGTTTCCGGTTAACTGTCAATTGAAGGAATAGCAAGAGAGTATCCACGAATTTAATAAAACAAGTTTAATAGCAGGATTTTAATTATTTATTCTGGAGGGACGATAAAATCGAAATTAAAAAGAAATTAAAAAACATATCGATGCATGTTTTGTAGATCTTTAGAAGAAAAAATAAAGAAAATTATAAAACGATGACTGAGACCAGCACGTCTCCCCAAGGAAAGTAATTAAGTGGAAGGAACATATACGGACGAGTAGAGTGTATAGTTATTATGCATTCTTCTTTAACTATATAGTCTTTAATTATCGTCTGACATTACAGTTTCTTATCTTCCTATAATTTTAACAACACGAAAGACTTATTTCAGCCCGGATATTAATATTCCCACCATTCGTGAGATATTTTCGACGTGGATGAATAGGAAAATTTGATGGTTACAAAATCCACGATTAATTAGTTTAACTGGTTCGTTCGTAATTGATACACTGAGGATAATAAAGATTTTACTATTTGAAATAGAAGGTGGAAAGTCTAACATGATTCGACGACATAAATGTATCGCAAACTAACATTTTCATTATCGACATCAATTTAAAGATCGAAGTTCGATGAAAATGTCTACTACATAAACATTTTCTAATAATAATAAAATGTGTGAATCTGTAATCGAGATTGAGGCAACGATAACCAAGGAGCGTTTCATGTAACATCGCATGCTCGTGTAATTTATTTGTACTTACTCGATCTCTCGTTCCAGAAAATCGACGCCAATCGTTTTCTTATAGTCTCTCGTGTATGTACCCTTGCAAAACCTTTGGATCATCGATGATTTCCCTACAGCACCGTTACCGACTATCACCACCTGCGAATAAACATTCCAAGGTAATTACGATCTCGAAGAAGCTGAAATGAAATGATGAAGCAAAAACGACTTCATTCCTCGATCGAACTGAACTGTCGTTCTGTCGACTTCAATAAATCATTCCCTCGCAAATGATGTATCGGTGCAATCTGTTATTACACGCAATTCCGAATCAAAGATAGCATATGTACACGTGCGATCATCTGGAAGGTTGACTTTCTATGCCTACAGGTCAACGTGAACAAGAAAAGGCTACGGATTGTACCGATAAATTCTCGCAACTTTCTTGTCGATTTCATTTTACTTTAATTTCTCGCTTCATTTATTCTGCACCTCCGAACAATCTTTTATTTTTTCTTTGTATCTTATTAAACACTCGTTAAAAATATTTCATCAAATAGTTCAGATAAATGAATCTTATAAAGTTTATAAGGATATTTTATCTTTTGAGACAATTGTAGAAGACCCAAATAAACTTTACAATCTGTAAGTTTGTCGAGTTTGAATGAAATCGGTGTTCCAAAGATCGCGCAGTCCCGTTAGTTCCCTATAAAATTTCCAAATAAAAACCAGTTTATTCGAAAGAAGCAAATATATTGCATTTTATATTTATAACATAAATTATTGTCTATATTTTGTGCTTAACCCAATTCCTTACTATATCCTTCTTCCCATTATAGATCTTTCTAAACTTTCCCTCATTCCTCATGTACCATATGTATCTTCATTGGTCACAAGATTTCTAACCGATCCGTCGCTAGTATCTTTACGCGGTATTTTTTATAACAGTAGATGCTTAGACCGTCGCGTATTTTAATATAAAATTTCACCGGCGAAGTGAACTATAAATGCACGTGAATTGTTTGATCATCGATCATCACTATTTGCAATTCGAACACGTAGGCGGAGAAGTAATCGATAGGAACATCGTAAGAAAGCGTTGGGTATTAATATGGAATCGTAAAACACGATATTACCGAGCATTAAACTTTATTACGCGCCACGTAAAGTCGCTTCGCTCTTCACAATAATGTATTTCGAACGATTTAGGTTACAATTCGATACTATTTTCTGCGTCTATAATGTATAATGGATCGGTTAATAATAAGTATTATTCACCCATTAACTTTCAAGAAATATTTTCAAGACGTTACAAGACATTAATTGTAACCTAAAAACGTAACTTATCTTTTTTTAAAGATGTCGAAAAAGTGGTCATAGAAGATGTAACAAAATATTGTATACAATCAATATTATGTTGTGTTTGCAAATAACAAGAATGTGTATCTTTAAAAAAATAACGTGTAAAAGTTATGCAGAGAATTAACACAAAGACACAGGGAACGTAGATGAACCTCGTGTGAATGCCGTTTATGATTTCAGGTGGATTAACAGTTTTTCAGGTACAGTTACTGGTCGGCTATAATTTCAGCCGAAGAAAACGAGGAAGTGCTTAATTATGAAGACACTCTCACCAATATCATAGGTGTACCATCGATGTCCTCCGGTTAGAGAAAACATTACTGTTATCGTCGAACGATCGTCGCCTAATACGGAAACAACGCTTGCAAATCATTGATTTAATTAAAACTACGTACTTCGCCTGTTTTCTCCTCGCAGTTCAGCTAACATAAATATGTTAAGATAAAAATTCTTTCGCCTCGTAACTTTGATACGTCTCATTGCGTGCAGGAATCTGTTAAAAATCTAAAGTCGTATCCGTTAAGTTGGGGTGTCGTACATTTAAATAATTCTGCCAAAATCGAGATAACGGTGCACCTAAAGCGAGAAGTGGGTTAAGTCGATAAGGGCTCAAGTCCACGTGAACCGGTCTTCAAGCTTTTGTTAAAAACTATATTATACGTATAATGTCAAGCAAAACTACATACATAATTATTAAGCGAGACTACATACCTCTCTGTTAATAATAATTGAAAACGTAATGAAATATTATATCACCGAGTAAATGATTCTCGTTACTCTCCTCTTTATTCAAATCTGATCAATCTTCAACTAAGATTCCGCGATACTTATTGAAAACAAGCGGTACGCTAATTAAACCAGCATATGTTAATTGTGTGAATCTCTGAAACAAGCGAATTCCACTTCTTCCTAATTTTATCTGCAAGCTGTAGTGCATATTTGAAAACGGTCGGATCAGTTATCGAATATTGTACGATCGATTTTTAAAGCAGAAAATTTGACTGCGTCAATATACTCGACTATTTATTTAAGAGTATTTTCTTTATTCAGTAGAAAGTTGTATGATGTATGTACTCATTCTTTTAACTACAGGCAATAAGAACAGTAAAAGTAATAGATGATTTTACATGAGCACATGCCTATGAAAATGTTGATACCGTTATAGTAATCGAAAGATATATTCCTGTTCTCGATACAATATTCTACGATATCGAACAAATTTTTATTACATTTTTTCTGTGTAACGTAAGCGCATTTTGTACAACTACTGTCAGTGAAAAGATATGATATATATACAAACTAATTTTCGTTTCATATTATCTGCTACAATTTGAAATTATTAAACACAGTTTCGTTAAAATCTTTCCTGCGATTGTTATATTGAATAATATATCAGTGTGGGGAACAATATGCATTTGCAATTATTAATCATTATTTATTTATAAAAAAAAAGAAAAAATATTCCTAACCTATATTGTATTTGCCGGCTCGGTTGTTGTGTATACGTTACAATGCAGATCTGTCACTGCGCATACGCATTTCTGAAACTTGATTTGAAACACAAACTTCGATAAAATAGATTGATCGATTGCGAGATATCTAATATTCGATACTTTCAACAGGTGTAATTCTATTACTCTTATTTTCCATTTCAAAACAACAAGCGAACGTAGAATTAAGAGTGGTTACGTTTCGCGTAAACAAGTAATCCATTTCCCTTTTAAGAAGGTAATTTTTAAAATGTTCTAATATCTGTCTCCAAAATACGATAATAAAAGTTTCATTTGGTAGAAATATTATTTCTTGTTGCATAGTGTCACTGGGAAAATAAAAATTAAACTTTTGATCACCTTGAGTGATATCTCGAGTTCTTCCTCTCGCATTCTGACCGTAACGTGATTAGCATAATATCCAACTACAATATATCCCGCGATGTCTGCCGCTGATCTTTCGTGAGAAAATTTTTACTCTTAACAACGATCACCTTTCACGATACTTCAAATTGATCACCTTACACTGGGATCGAAGCATTTTTACGAATTTCAAATAAAATTCGCGCACGTTTTTTTATTTTCACTCGCGTGATTTAATGTTAAGGGAATATCCTGTCGCGACGATACAGCAACGTATACACGGAACACGCGAATACGCGCCACTAACTGGCTGAACACCTGTACGAAACACCTGCCGAGACTAACTTCCTGGTAACTTTTCTAGTAACTTTCCTATTTAGCACTTAGATGAATTGCCAACCGTTTGAAATAATTTAAAACTACTACAGCATCTTATCCCGATAAAATGTCCAATCCGTAAATTCAATTCCACATAATTCAATACCACACATGAAAGAATACAAGACCATAAGATCAATTTGTATAAAATTTAAACTATATAAACAAGAGCATTCTAGTTATTCCCTAGAGAAAATGGCGACGTAGGGGAATAGTAGCGAATTGTCGTATATGTATAGGTTGTTCTCCTTACTGAAAACGGCGATATAAGAAAAGGAGGTCCAATATTCGTGAAAACTAATGGATATTAGAAATTTTCTAAACTACAAATTCAAAGATTGAAAAATTTTCAAGATCTCATTTCAAAAATTCAAATTTAAAATCTGAAATCTAAATTATGAAAAAAGAGGTTCCATTATAGGTGTCAGCACTATATTACAAAACTTTTTAAAATTTGATAGTATTTCTCTTCTTTATTTTATAAAATATTTACACCATAGGATACTACTATCAAAAATAAAAATTCATTGAAGGCAAAGTTATAAATGAACAATAATTTAATCCATACAAAATACGTGTTACAGAGATATTTGGAAATGGAGGAGGAATGTAAAATAGCAAGGAATGTAAGAAATTACAAAGAAAAAAATTAGAATTGCTTTGTATAATATTTATGAACATGCGATGTATGTATATGTATATGTATACATATATATGTGAACGTATTTCATATATATGTATATATATATGAATATATATATATATATATGTATATTTATATACTAACTATGAATATTTATGTAAAATTTCGAACATGCTTCTACGACGTCAGGGATGTGCATGTAGAAGTAATTACACAAGTAATATTTATATATATTGTATGTATGTATGTATGTATGTATGTATGTTTGTATCCATACGTATAAAATTATAAAGTTGTATATAATATAATAACTGTTACATAATACACTCATATATGAATAATTTTAATGACAATGTTATTTTAGTAACGATGTTATAGTTGTTACATTTATTTTCAAAAAGTTTTTTTTTCGAGCCAGAGGATTATTTAATTAACACTTCACACGATTAATACTTATATACCAGCATATCCTCTGTGTTTTTTTTTTAAATAAAACAGTCATCAATAAACAAATTAGTTCTTTTGTATAAAAATTATGTAGATATTTTATGTATTAATGAAACCTATATATAAAAGAGCATTTCATTACATCCAAATAAAACTGTACAAAATATAAATATACGCTTATATAAAACTTTGTTTTTGTACAAATAACCTAACATATTCTACAAAACCGATCTTTAAATTTTTTATTACCATCAATTTCAATATTATTTGCAGAGAGTAATATAATTTTGTAAAGCAATAACATAATTTTTCAAAATTAATCACCAAATTAGTACAGGTTTCTTCTTAATTTAAATTTACAAAATATGTATATTATTATTCATTCCATTTAAACTTCAACTATTTTTCTGTAAGATGTAGTACAGATAAACTATTGAACCAAATAATGTTTACAAGAAACAATGCATTTAAGCTATTTTTTGTCTAATATTAATATTAATATACAGATATATCCACATATTTATTTGGCAGTACATGTTTTACATTTTAATTGTATTTAAAATTATGGAAATACTTGCGGAAATATTCTATCAAATGCGACAGAATAGTAGTTTCCGACTAGACAAATTGTTTTGATAAGGATAATTTTATCTTTCATAAATATGTAATGTCTTTTTATGAATGTGATAGACGTTTGCATAAAATTGCGTGATTAAACAAATGTATCAAAATAATGAACTCCTTCATAAAAACAAAATACAAATCTATAAAGACAATACATCGTTAAACGAACGTTTATGTAACATATACAATACACTATTTATATACTGTTAACACTACAAAAGCTTTCATAACATTTAATAAATTATAAATCTAATGTTTTTCTCTGTATTATTGCATAATTTCATATTATTTAACTGTAAAATTATAATTTTTAGTCGTATAAAATATGAATGATGAAAAAAATTCATCATTTTAATAAATTAATTATTAACTAGTGTACAAATATATAAAAATGAAAAATTCCAAAGTTCTAATATAGCAAATTTAATTGACATGAAAACATACCGAAGCAAAAGGTTACAATTAGATTACGATTGTTTATACATACATGATATGCCGAAGTCTGTAAAGTGTGATTTGATCAAATCCCTATTTCCATTATTTCCCTGCGACACATATAAATCATGGAGTCTAGACTATAAATTACACGACTTATTTATACTTCGCAGACTTCAATATATCATAAATGCACAAATATCAGCAGTCTAATAATAGTTAATACTAAATCCGTAATTTTAATACTAAAATGTATCCTATATGATTAAATAGAAAAAAATTCGATCGTCAATAATAATAGTTTACATACTTATCAATATTAATACCCTTGTATACTTTCTTATGTTATTTTACACACTTACTATATTTTTATGAACAGTTATGAATAATTTTTAGATTAGATGCATTGCTTCTAGTTTATATATATATATATATTTTTTTTTTCCAAGATAATTCGGAGTTAACGTGTCCAAAAGATTTATAAAATTAATGAATATCAATGATAAATATTTTTTAAAAATTGCCTTATATTTATATTGACTTAAACAGGCCACTCATAAATTTTATATTATGTATTATATTTTTAAATGTTTAATAACAATAAATTGCTGTGATGTTAATGAAAAAAAAACGGGAAAAATGAAATTGAAGGAGGAATGATAAGTCAAGACAGATAACAATCCGTCTTATAAATGTATAATTTAAATCCTAATAAACTATCCATTCAAGTAGATGGAAAGCTTACATAAATTGGCTATGCAATGTCTGTGACTTTCTTATATATATCAAATATTTATAATACTTTTGACAATTGCATTATCTCGTCAAGATTTATAAACAACAAATTCCTACTTTAAAAATATTAACTTCCATGGCTATTGTCTAAATATAATATTAATATCAACATTTACACGTTTAGAATATACTTTCTTAAAATAAAATCTGAATCGTATCACTCCTTTTTTAAATCATAAAAAATTTAACACTCATTTTGTTCTAATAACTTGTGAATTGACAAATTTGCTTTACAATTTTATGGCAGCCAGAATATGTAAAAAAAGAATTATCTTAATCGTATTTACTAAAAAGATAAATGATATTATTCATACCTCGTAAGAAAAGAAGACTGCTGTTCAATACAAAGTATGTATACTTTTAAATATCACAAACATCCGGATTTTTTAATGAACTATTAATTGTAATAATCTGCATTTTTCTCGTTGTATATTCGTATAGAATATTTTTCGTACCTTAACAATATTTTACTGAAACATTATAACCAGTAACTATACATTATTTTAGTACTTCAATATGCAGATGCTTCCTTATACTCTGAGCCTTCCATAGTAAAGAAATCCTCGAGTTTCCATTGCAGAGTTTCAAAGGTTGGCCTCTTCATTGGATCTTTGTTCCAACATTCTAACATAATATCATACAACGCAGTTGGACATCCAGGTGGGCAAGGCATTCGGTAACCATGTTCTACTTGATGAAGAACTTCGGCATTTGTCATACCTGTAAAACAGTCGATTATAAATTATATTTGAACGATAACTATTATATAATATTTATAAAAGTACTTACCCGGATATGGTATTCTACCATAAGTAACCAATTCAGTAAGCAGAATACCGAATGACCACACATCAGATTTAATACTGAATTTACTATAATTCGCAGCTTCAGGCGCAGTCCACTTGATAGGGAAACGTGCTCCTACACGAGCTTCGTATTCATCTTCTTTGATCAACCTAGCTAAACCAAAATCTGCAATCTTCACGACATTTAATTCTGCTACCAAAACATTACGGGCAGCTAAGTCTCTGTGAATGTAATTCTGTGATTCCAGATATGCCATACCCGCTGCAATTTGTGCAGCCATATCAATTAATCGTTGTAGATTTAAACTCTTGCCTTTTCCTATAGAAAAAAATGACAGTAGTACTCAGTAATATTATTCAACCCTTATGCAGGCAACCGGATACACGGGCACCCAATTCTATATTCCTTTTTTATAATTTTATGAATTTGAAATCATTGCCCACACAAGGATTATTTGAATATATGCAATATGATTTAATACAATTTAATACTACCTTGTAAATATTCTAACAAACTACCATTCCTCATCAGTTCTGTGATAATATAAATAGGCTCTTCTAAAGTACACACAGCATACAACTGAATTAATTTTGCATGACGAAGTTTCTTCATAATTTGTGCTTCTGCCAAGAAATCTTTCGGATCCATAGTTCCGGGTTTGAGCGTTTTTATTGCTACCGCAGTCGTGTTATTCCATGAGCCTTCCCATACTTCTCCAAACTGGCCTTGCCCTAATTTTCTCACAAATTTGAGCGATGAGCGATCTATCTCCCATTGATCCCGCGTACGATGGCTAAGACCCTCGGTAACAGGTTTCTCAACCTATCAACAAAATCAAGTATGTGCCAATCAATGACTATTAAATTCTACAATTTCTGTTTTTAAATAAGTATGTAATCATAGCATTAACAGCAAATATTCCTTTGAAATGTTGTACATTAAGACATAGAAACTTATATGTATATTAATGAAAATTCTAAAGTTCCTTAAAAGAAAAGTATTTGGAGCGCTGACTTTACTTCCTAATAATACAAACCTAATTAGAAGCCATTTAAAGATGATGCTTAGGCTGCATGACTGCTCGTTAAGTTTATGATGACTTCATTATAAGAAATAATAAACAACAAGTTTGTTTAAATCAAAATATCTAATCTAACAATTATGCCACAAAAAACTAAAAGAAATAGTGGCTATTATGCAAGATGCAAGTGATGAAAAGCAAACTGTAAATAATTTAGTTTCATGCCTTTTGACATTCACGTGGTTTTAAAAATATCTAATTTAAATTTCAAAAGATACAGTAGTTAGTGTGTAGAAAGTGTATGGAAATTTCATGTACAGAAATTTGCATGTTTTGTGGTAGATGAATTTATTCCTGACATACGTATAATACCTTTTAAAAGTCAATAATACTTATTTCTATAGACGAGAATATAAAAATTACATATAATTTCAGGAACTTAGTAATTGAACACTTATACACAGTCGAAGACATAAACTTATATGCTAATAATTCTTTTGTTGTAGAATATATACATTATTAACAAGAATGTAGCACCATATTTCAAGTACTTTTGTAACATAAAATGTCAGTACCTTAAAGTTATTACATTCCAAATAAGAAGAATATAAAGAACCCTGTAGTAAAGTAGTTAATACTTCTGTTTAGATTAAAGAAAAGTTCAGTCACTGAGAGTCATTAAATGGTATAATTTGACAAAAGTACTATGAATTTCTTGTGCACTAGCCCATTAAAAATTGCTCAGAAAATATGTAAAGTCCATTAGATTGGAAGAAAATCCATTTTAAAATTCTTTAATGTGCGTACAAACACGAAAAAGAATCTAAAACACATATTTTAAAAAACTGATCTATTAAATTTCATATACAACATATCTCAAACATTCGTAAAAAATATATTACTTATTATTTATATTACCATACAATATACCATAAAGTAGTAACAGTCTTTCCCAATATTTCACATCCTTATCATTTGTATAATCTATACAAAATGTACTCAAAGATATGGATAATTTTGCATGAAAGATAAAAGTACATCTGAGATATCCTGTACATCAAATAGATTTTAAGCACACATATATTAATAATAGAATTTTGTTATCCATTACAAAGTACATGGAAAAAGTTTACATTAAGTATCGTCATAATGAATAATGCATCAAAACAGCATATACAAACACAAAAGCACAAACTTATTTTATTCTTAAATGTGTGCTTCCAATTCTATTTCTAAGATGAAGCTATGAAATTTAAAATGAATTTAATTTTCTAAATGAAGGATGAGCTAATGTCTTTGAAACATGATTCCATATAGGACAGGCTTGTGCTATATGTACAGGCCAAAGACATAACAGGAAGCATTTATGTTAAAAAGAAAATTAACATGTTATGTCATATTGGGACATTCAATTTACCAAGAAAATCCAGCGGGAGGTAAGGTAAGCAATAACAGAGAAACAAACATAGTCTATTCAGAGATCAAACTTCGCAAGATTATTTATCAAACTAAAAGCTGTTTTCAAACCTTAATGTTTTTTAAAATAAGTAATAACAATGTATAGTACAATATATATAAATATATATAGGTATATATGTCTTGTGTGTATGTATGTGTCTATGAATGTGCATATACATTTTTCATTTAAATTAATAATTTATGTGATTTTAAGAAATCAAGTAATCTTTTCGCATATATGTTTAAATATAGAAGTCTTTTCTTTCACTTTTTAGTATCTTTAAAAATATATTTCCTTAGATATATTACAAAAAAATATAGTACAAACAGTAATAAAATATTGTATCTATTAAGTAATTTTTAACATCACATTAAAAAATATGTGTAAGTTACTGTTACAGTTGTTAAATACATCACTTCATTTTTTAAAGCAAAGTCTAACTGGAGTTTAGACAGTGCCATAAATGTTAATACTTGTAATGTACAAATATTATGTAAGAGTTTAACATAATGATCCAAATTACTTCATTCTATGCACAAAGTTAACTATATTGTAGATCTGTGTACAATAAAGATTGATAATATCATGCATTCATTTCTTACTTTTAGTTTTAGGTTCATATTATGTGTCAATGCATATTATGCTATATCAAGGGATTTCTGCAAAGTAATAAAACCTAAAATTTCAACTTTTAAAAAAAGATATGAAATTATATTGAATGAATTGAAGAAGTCCCTTGATAAATACTTTCAATAAAAAATTAAGTAATTAAGCAATACACCATATTCTTTAATAAAATAATGATATATTATTAAAAACCACTTTCATACATGCAGCAAGCTGTCTAAACTCCATTTATATGACATAATATTACATGTAATAATCACTTAACTATAAACTGTCTTACCTGTACACAGGGTTTGCAGAGATTTACACATAATCCATCAGCATCTTTACTATAATGTTCAACAAGGTCCTGAAGATTTCTAAATGTAGTCCTTCTAGCAATAAAGAAACCACCTTCATCTAACTGTCTAATTCGATAGTGTTTAACCGTATCACCATCCCGTACTACAAAATAATATAATTGAAATCTTTTACTATGTTGTGGTCAAATTAGTTGATTTATTATTTTGGAATAAAATAAACAAACTTCAATTATAATATTATGGATCAAGTTATATAACTTTGTCTTAGTTTACCTGAAAGGGAATAATCATTATGTCGACTTTCAGAATCTCTAATTAAAAATGCACCATGATCATTTTCAGGCAGTAATAATTTCTTTTCTGCTTCAATTCGTTTAATTTTTCTGAAGTACCATCTAAAATAATAACGACAATAATAAAGGAAGTATAAATATAATATTATTCTTATATCTTTAAAAGGAAGTAATGCTTATCTAAACTGATTGATAGTCAAAGGCGGCTACCCATGTTAATAAAGAATACAAGTACTGTTAGTGAAAGCAAGGTCACATTGAATAGTTGGGTGTATAGAAAGAAATTTATTAAGTGGGAACATAACAAAGAATATTAAACAAATTTCATTGATTTTTTTTAATCATTATATCATAACTGTAATATTATTTATATATCTATATATGTAACTGATATATGTATTTTATAATTAAATACATAACAGTAAACTTTATAGAACTTGTATTTTAAATGGTATGCATTTAAAATAACATGTACAATTTATTTTCTATCAACATAAGAATATTGCAATAATATATTGTAAACATTATTAAAAATAATGCCTTTTGAAATTATATCTGGTATTTTTATTATAAATTACATAAATATTTTTGAACATTCATTTGGTTTAAAGGGAAATAAATGTAAATACAAAAAATGTAACTTACGGTTCAGCTTCAATAGATTTTAACTTTGCAACATAATTACTAGGAATATATCCTTCCTGTCGAGTTCTTTTACTTCTAGCCAACCACCAATCTCCTTGAGTATCATTTAAAATTTCCAGATGTTCACCTTTTCTAAAACTTAAATCTTCGTCTGTACGTGCATCATAATCATAAAGTGCAACAAAGATTTTTGCTGTTGGCACATCTGCATCTGGAATTTGTGGCATAGGCCTAATAGGATCTGGAGGCGGCGTTGGCACTGGACTAGCTTGAGATGCAACTGCCTCTATATTAGGATTGCCTATTCTATCAGGCTTTTCTTTTTCTGTGTCTGTTGGACTACTGAAACAGTTACCCATTTTTTTTGTATGTAATTTCAAATTTGTCCGATATACAAATTCACTGTCACTGTATCATGAAATACAAAAATTCTTGTCACAAATTTCATTCAATGTTTTCACGTTTGATCCTTCTGCATGGATATTGAGGAATGGTCATGTAAATATAAAATTTTCATAATACACATGTCTTCCTATAATTTGTTAATAAATTGAAAAATTTCTTGTTAATCTGTGGGTCCACTTATTTGAATAACACAAATGTACATAGGAGATAAACACTAAAATACACTTTGGCTTTTAAAATGTTTATATAGAAATCACTACAAAATAAAAACGAAGAAATGACAGAGAAGTCTTTAAAATACGATTTAATTCGTAAAATCGACACCTTTTTTTCTCGAAGCTTCTCTTCTCAAGAAACTTGCATCTCTTTCATCTACATCTAACATAGTAAACATTCACTTGGAATTATTTCAATTTCCACTAGAAATCATTTATCATAACTAGAGAAGTTTACTTAATTAGTCGTTCACGCAATGACACTTCATCTCGTCCGTATGTAACACTACTAACATAAAAACAGAGGTATGCTCGATTAGTATACGCATTTTCGTCAAGTTCGCGCTGATCCAAGCTTGACGTCATAATATGGCCCTTCTGTATTTTAAGTTAAGCTGCAGGCCATCAATTTTAATATTAAACAATTGAACGTTCCTCATAGTAACATTACAGCTATTTTAGAGAAGCTCAACATTATGTTTAGATATTTAATCATGTAATCAAAATAATTTATATAATGTGGAATACAAGAAACAAAAGTAATGAAAATAATTTACAATAGAAACATTTATTTGCATTTAGGTATTGATAAATCAATATGTATTTTTTTATTCTTTATTCACGATTTACTTTTCTTTGAATTGTTTAAATAATTGGCACACGGTTGAGCATAGTAGACTTTCCTAGGGAAAATGTCGATGTAAAAAAAAGCGCCCACCACTTGTTGGTTTTTGGTTGGCTAATTTTCAAATTTACAAACTTTTAAATTTAGAAACTAAAAAATTTGAATATCTTCAAATTAAAAAATTAAAAAGTCCTTAATATTAGAACTTTAGTTTTGGGAATTTGAGGATTTAAAAATTTAGAAAATTTAGGAATATTATAAATTCATTCTCATGTAAACATGAGAATTTAAAAATTGGCTAATTTATAAATTTGAGAATATAGAACATTTAAAAATTTGGGTTTCCGAAAATTTTCAAATTTACATGTTTAATCTTTTAAAATCGAAAGCAAGTGGTAGGAAGTTTCTCCCTTTACATTCGTCCTTATCTAAAGGAAATCTACATTGCATCCGAGTGTACGCTTGGATCATTTTTGGATCACTTGATAACCCGACATATGTACGTGCAGCATACCCTGTTTCTGTGTCCAGAATATAATGATGTAATAATTATTTAAAAGAGAATAAAATAAAGGCATAAAAACATATTTTTAAAGAAGAATCCGAAGCAAAAATGTTAATTCATATCTTAAACAATCATTTTTAAAGTCTCTTTTTCTATCAATTCAAGAAAAGCTAGTGACAGTATTAATTAAAAAAAAATATATATTGTATGAATGAAATGTATTCCTGAAAAGAAAAAAAAAAGAAAAGAATATTGCTGTACGAATAACAGAGCCCGCTCGATTTGAACTTGTTTCACCGGTCCATCGTAATATTTCAATAACATCAGTTCCCTTACACCGAAAAATAATCTTTATTTCAACACCAATATTTTAGCACTGGCACCGCGTAACGCCGAGAGTCTTTATAAACACAGCAATTAAAAGAAACACCATTAAAAGAAACGTAGACAGCATAATAGAAAGTAACGACGTCGCCATTGCATTAAATCAGATCCGTCAAAATCCTAATTTTCACATGTGCGATACCAAGAACTATGAACTGTAAGTCACACACACGATTTATTATCGAAAATTATAATTAAGAAACGAACATACTTCGTACAATATTGTAAAAGGCTTCTAGAATTATATTTATCCAGAGAATATATACAGAAGACGAATAAACTTTTCACGAGAAACCGACAGAGAGGTGAAAACACCCATGGTGAAGGTATCCAGTGGAATACTGCTTTCGGATGAGTTCGGCTATAAACCCGATCTCAACCGAACCTTTACCATCCCCAACAAAAGATGCAAATTGCTTGCACTATATATATACATATATTTATTTATTTGATACATGTTCCTGTTTTAACAAATAGGATAATATATTCAAAAATAAATATTTGAATATTTTGATATTTGAAAAATTAGAAAATATAACAAAAATTTCTGAACGTATTATAAATAATACTTATAGTAGTATTCTAAAATAATCTTTATATAAAATATTTTATTGAAATTGAAATTTCAATTCATACATGCTTTTATTTTATGATTTTAATTTTAGTCATTAATGTTGGAAAAGTTATTCAAACAGATAAAAGCTTGAATTGAAATATAAACGTTTGAAAACTTAAATGAATCATTTAAGAAATGATACAGTGAAGTAAACAGTCTACACGAAATGATGATATTACGTTACTGATCAAATAAATAAGTATGAAATATGTCGCTAATATATGCAATTGTTTTGTTGTTACCTGAAAAATCTTCTAAAAAAGTTTTGAAGTATTTTACTTGTTTTTGACTGCATTGCAATTTAAGTAATTAAACGTATACATCCGCGTGCATATAATTTAAATGTATCTACACGTTTTTTATAAGTTACACGATAAATATAATACGGAGAACCGTAATTGTTCGTATCTGAGACTGTACTGCTTTCCTATTTCGAATTATCTACTTTACTTTTTCCACATATATCTGTAGCTATATATGTATAAGAATATATCATGTCTTACATACAGGTGTACACATATATATAAGATTTCGTTTATCTTATTATCAGATTATCTTATATCCAATTGTCTTTATATATAAATACATCAATACAACAATATTGATTCAAAATATTTTTACAGAGTTTAATATTTCTTTACTATTATATTTCAATATTAATACATTTTAAAACTAATGAGAAAAAAATATATTACAAATCAGTTGCATCTAATATATGAAATAATCTTTTCATAATAATACATTACCATCCTTTTCTAAGAAATGGTAGAGCTGGCACAGAGATAAGATATTTTCATGAATTGCATTTTCAATGGTTTTATACCTCAAATGAGGTATAAAAGATAAAGTGTAATCATACTTTGTATTGAGATATTAGATTTTCCTAATAATTATAATTCTTATATATAAATATCTTAAAGTTTGATAAATTAACAAACATTATTCTAATTTCAATTGCAATTTTATTGTATTATAGAAAAAAACATTTTATTACATTTTATACAAATTTATTATCGCCATTCTTTGTTTAAGCGTACAGAATCAATGGTTGCATAGTTCTTGCAGTTTTACATCATGCAGAAATTATGTATGTAATCAATGACATTTGTATGATCTGGTAGGTAATAAAAGTGAAATTATATTAAGATGTTCGTCTGTATAAAAAAAATAAAAAATATACTTTTCTAACAGATGCAAGTTAGAAATTTGGTTTCAGTTATTTTAGTCCTTTTAATTCATTACACAAAAATTATTAGGAAACCGGTTCTTCATTATCATCTTCATCAGGTATTTCTAAAATTTTTGGACCAAACAAAAGAACATATGCACAATGCCAATCACCACCACCCTTAGTTTTCATTACCTCCGCAAGTGTAACAATACTAACATTTTCATCATCACACTTCAACCAAGTATCATTTTTATATCGTACCCAAGCAACATAATGACCACTACTACTCGATCGTCCCTTATGTGTTAATACCGCTTGTAACGAATAATAACCACTGTTATTTGATCCTATATCTGAAATTATAACATGATAATGTATGTACATTATTAAGAATACTTTGATATCTAATTTGTACTTAGTTAATATACAAATATTACCATCTTCAAACGAAAAAGGTTCTGTCTTGATATTTTTCGATTTATTCTCAATGCCTAATTTTTTTTCACAATAATGAATTCGTCCTTCTATACTATGTTCGTATTTACTTATCTTATTGCGCATAGGCATAAGTTTTTGTTTAAGTTCATTGCTACAAAATGGGAAAGCATCAAACTTATCCGAAAACATTACTTCTTTAAGAATTTTTGCATTAATTCCTTCTTTTTCTTTATAATAAAACCGTACGAATTGCACTGTTAGATATGCTGGTAATCTGCTAATTGTTGACTGTAAAGTATATTTTCATTATTTCTGTTGAAAGAAAATCTAAATAAACAATCGTTTCTTTTAAATTAAAATTTTTTACCGTTTTTGTATAGATTGCATCTCTACCTAAAGTTGGTGACATTTTTGTGATTTGTTCCTCCATTTTATTCATGATCCCTGTTGTCATATATTTAACATCTGTTGAAATGAAACAACTTAATTGTAAAAAGTCTTCTTTTCCTTTAGTAGGTGGCTCATCTTCACATTCCATGCATTTCAATTCTGTTTCAAATGTTCCCCCAAAATATTGTTCAATCAGTGATCGAGGTTTATAACTCTGTCCACTATTTTCTGAAGTAACAGGATTTTCCTACAATTATATTATATTTATGATTGCAATTAGAAGGATATGATAATTTAAATTTAACACATATAACAGTACTATATTTTGAGATAACTATAGAATTTACTGAGTAAATTTTTAAGTCAATTATTCAATGAAATATATAAAATAAATATTTAAGTGCCTTTGCTGGTAATTTTTGTTGCAACATCCTAATAAGTTCAGTCCAACATTCGTTAGCATCCTGTTGTTGAAATCTACCATGTTCAGATTTTTCAGCAAACCTTGGAAATGCTAAGTGCATCATTTGGAGAAGAACAACAGGTGGCAATGCTGATCCTTTATCCATACTATTGTATAGCTCTCTTAATGCAGCAGTTATACCTTGTGCAGGTTCAATTGTTATACTACCCGAAGCTGCAAGCCCACCTGAGAAGTTATTTAAAGCCTCCCGCAATTCAGGGACAGTTTTCAGGCATTGTACAGTTGCATTGAGATAACAAGTATTTCCTAAATTTATCAAACCAGCTGGTAATTGCAAAGCAGTAGCTAATGCAGATTCATTCATATCTTCCAAAAATAATGGTTTTTCAAAAGGCTCTACAGGTACATCTTCTTCTTTGGAACCCATCATTAATACAGTAATACCCTAAAAATGGTAAAACATAAAGAAATAACCTATTAAGACTTTCATGTTTACATTACAATTATAAAGTGTTTTTATTATTAATAAAAATATTAACACTGGTGGATAACTTTTTTTCTCCTTACATCTTTTACTTTAACATTCCCCCAATCATCATCTTTTAACATCATTCCATTTAACATAACTTTTTGCCTTTCTGGTTGTACTCCTGTCAGTGCAAAAAGTTGTGCTTTAAATAACATTGGTTCTTCCTCTGTATTAACTTCTACATTAGGAAAAAGTTCTTTTCCCCATTTTACTTTAACTAAAAAAAAATATTAAAAATTTTAGATATGTATATTGAAAACCATTCGATAAAAAATGAACAAAACATTTAAGGTAAGATTTTTCGAAATTTTGAACTTTCATATTACATACTCGAGTACTGAGGCATATTTCTTTCTTTCGATATATTTACTTATTATAAAATTGTATTTTTCAATGAACGTAATTTATAAAATATTTTTTCACTAGTAAACACAATGTGCATAAAATGCACTGTCAGACATTCATATACTATACATATGTGTGTTTAATTTTCACGAGAGAATGTTATCGGAGGACGATAAGTTTTCATTCACTTTGCGCAGGTTAGCTCTGATCGATTCTACACACTCCGTAATCGATGGTAACGCGCAAGCGCTTTTACGACATTTATGGTACCGAATGTGCATATCCAGTGATCTTCTAGTTTGTATACCTTTCTGTTATTGAGGAGGTTGTACTCATCACGTGGCAGACTTTTGGTCATTCTGCGCATGTTGGCTCTTATTGGTTCTAAAACTCTTTGCAACCAAGAGCAACGCGAGTGCGCATTTGTCACTTCCGTGACGCTAAACATATACTCGGTGATCTTTTACTTCATTACATACTGCCTACATTCTACTACATAGCACTTACTTAAATATTAACAATCTTGTATTAACAGAAAAATTGAAAAATGAAGATCATAATCTCTGGATTGTTGGCCAGAAAAAAACATTTTGATCATTTACAATAATTGTTAATTTGTATTTAATTCTAGAAATTTATTATCGCCATTCTTTCTTTAAGCGTACAGAATCAATGGGTGCATAGTTCTTGCAATTTTACATCATGCAGAAATTATGTATGTAATCAATGACATTTGTATGATCTGGTAGGTAATAGAAGTGAAATTATATTAAGATGTTCGTTTGTATAAAAAAAAGAAAAAATACACTTTTCTAACAGATGTAAGATAGAAATTTTGTTTCACTTATTTTAGTCTTTTCAATTCATTATACAAAAATTATTTGGGACCCGGTTCTTCATTATCATCTTCATCAGGTATTTCAAAAATTTTTGGACCAAACAAAAGAACATATGCACAGTGCCAATCACCACCACCCTTAGTTTTCATTACCTCCGCAAGTGTAACAATACTAACATTTTCATCATCACACTTCAACCAAGTATCATTTTTATATCGTACCCAAGCAACATAATGACCACTACTACTCGATCGTCCCTTATGTGTTAATACCGCTTGTAACGAATAATAACCACTGTTATTTGATCCTATATCTGAAATTATAACATGATAATGTATATACGTTATTAAGAATACTTTGATATCTAATTTGTATTTAGTTAATATATAAATATTACCATCTTCAAACGAAAAAGGTTCTGTCTTCATATTTTTCGATTTATTCTCATTGCCTAATTTTTTTTCACAATAATTAATCTGTCCTTCTGTATTATGTTCATATTTACTTATCTTATTGCGCATAGGCATAAGTTTTTGTTTAAGTTCATTGCTACAAAATGGGAAAGCATCAAACTTATCCGAAAACATTACTTCTTTAAGAATTTTTGCATTAATTCCTTCTTTTTCTTTATAATAAAACCGTACGAATTGCACTGTTAAATATGCCGGTAATCTGCTAATTCTTGACTGTAAAGTATATTTTCATTATTTCTGTTAAAAGAAAATCTAAATAAACAATCGTTTCTTTTAAATTAAAATCTTTTACCGTTTTTGTATAGATTGCATCTCTACCTAGAGTTGGTGACATTTTTGTGATTTGTTCCTCCATTTTATTCATGATCCCTGTTAACATATATTTAACATCTGTTGAAATAAAACAACTTAATTGTAAAAAGTCTTCTTTTCCTTTAGTAGGTGGCTCATCTTCGCATTCCATACATTTCAATTCTGTTTCAAATGTTCCCCCAAAATATTGTTCAATCAGTGATCGAGGTTTATAACTCTGTCCACTATTTTCTGAAGTAACAGGATTTTCCTACAATTATATTATATTTATGATTGCAATTAGAAGGACATGATAATTTAACACATATAACAGTACTATATTTTGAGATAACTATAGAATTTACTGAGTAAATTTTTAAGTCAATTATTCAATGAAATATATAAAATAAATATTTAAGTGCCTTTGCTGGTAATTTTTGTTGCAACATCCTAATAAGTTCAGTCCAACATTCGTTAGCATCCTGTTGTTGAAATCTACCATGTTCAGATTTTTCAGCAAACCTTGGAAATGCTAAGTGCATCATTTGGAGAAGAACAACAGGTGGCAATGCTGATCCTTTATCCATACTATTGTATAGCTCTCTTAATGCAGCAGTTATACCTTGTGCAGGTTCAATTGTTATACTACCCGAAGCTGCAAGCCCACCTGAGAAGTTATTTAAAGCCTCCCGCAATTCAGGGACAGTTTTCAGGCATTGTACAGTTGCATTGAGATAACAAGTATTTCCTAAATTTATCAAACCAGCTGGTAATTGCAAAGCAGTAGCTAATGCAGATTCATTCATATCTTCCAAAAATAATGGTTTTTCAAAAGGCTCTACAGGTACTTCTACTGGTACATCTTCTTCTTTGGAACCCATCATCAATACAGTAATACCCTAAAAATGGTAAAACATAAAGAGATAACCTATTAAGACATTCATGTTTACATTCCATTTATAGTGTTTTTAGTATTAATAAAAATATTAACACTGGTGGATGACTTTTTTTCTCCTTACATCTTTTACTTTAACATTTCCCCAATCATCATCCTTTAATATCATTCCATTTAACATAACTTTTTGCCTTTCTGGTTGTACTCCTGTCAGTGCAAAAAGTTGTGCTTTAAATAACATTGGTTCTTCCTCTGTATTAACTTCTACATTAGGAAAAAGTTCTTTTCCCCATTTTACTTTAACTAAAAAAAAATATTAAAAATTTTAGATATGTATATTGAAAACCATTCGATAAAAAATGAACAAAACATTTAAGGTAAGATTTTTCGAAATTTTGAACTTTCATATTACATACTCGAGTACTGAGGCATATTTCTTTCTTTCGATATATTTACTTATTATAAATTTGTATTTTTCAATGAACTTAATTTATAAAATATTTTTTCACTAATAACCACACGTGCATAAAATGCACCGTCAGACATTCATATACTATACATATGTGTGTTTAATTTTCACGAGAGAATATTATCGAAGAACGACGAGTTTTCATTCACTTTGCGCAAGTTACTTTTGATCGATTCTACACACTCTATGATCAATGGTAATGCGCAAGCGCTTTTACGACAATTGTGGTACCGAATGTGCATATCCAGTGATCTTCTAGTTTGTATACCTTTCTGTTATTGAGGAGATTGTATTCATCACGTGGCAGACTTTTATTCATTCTGCGCATGTTGGCTCTTATTGGTTCGAATACCCTTTGTAACCAAGAGCAACGCGAGTGCGCATTTGTTACTTCCGTGACGCTAAACATATACTCAGTGATCTTTTACTTCATTACATACTGCCTACATTCTATTACCTAGCACTTACTTAAATATTAATAATCTTACATTAAAAGAAGTAATACATGAAAAAATTAGAAATCATGAATTATACAAAATTTGCATGAACTAATTTTTTATTAACCTTGATATAAGATAATACTGTATTTCATTAAATAGATATATTGTTTACATGATTTACTATCAATTAGGACCAGCCTAATAATTATTAATTTCAAGCTATCACATTTTTATAATCGTATCAGAAAGTTACGATTTCTAATTTTATTTAATTTCTATTTCTGTTTCTGTTCTTCTGTTTTGATTATTATAGTAGTCTTATAGTACAATGTTTTATGTATTACTATGCTTTTAAAATACGCTAATTAAAGAAACATTTAACACCATAATGTCTTTACTTTTGTATTGAATAAAAAACTTTTTTAATTTAATCTAACAATATCAGATGATAAATGTAATTTTATTAAAATTAAGCCCAAACTCGTAGAGTCGAATCCCAGCTCCCAGTAGAAAGAGCAGTTCCATCTGGAGAAACTCTTAAACAAGATACTCGATTTTCATGTCCATACAAAAATGCAACTCTTTGACACTTTAAAGTATCCCATATATTTACAGTGTAATCATTATAACCAGCAAATAGTAGACGTCCGCTAACGCTGAAATCTACAGCGTTTGCTCCAAATATTATACTTTCTTTTCCATAAACTGCTATTTCTCTATCTGCACGCAAATCAAAAAGGCGACAAGTAGCATCATCAGAACCTGTTGCTACTGCATCACCACCTGGATGAAATTTTACCTAAATTCAATACAACATAATATAAATAATTTTTCTTCTAACAGATAATTAATATACTTTATAATTGAATAATAAGCATAATAAACTTCTACATACAGAGTTAACATCAGACTGATGTCCTTCAAAACTTTGAACACATTGACCAGTGCGCATATCCCATATTAAAACCATTTTATCACAGCTACCAGATACAAATGTATTACCAGTTTCACTTGGTGCTAAATCAATAGACATAACATCACTGGAATGACCAAGAAAGCTTTGTAGTAGTTGACCACTCTCTACATCCCATAAAGCACATGTGCTGTCTCCACTACCCGTTAAAATTTGTTGATCACTATTAGGAAATACACAACATGACATATAGGATGTATGCGTTGCAACAGTTTTTTTGCGAGTTGAAACATCGTCTTCTTGACTTAGAGGATAAACAGTAACTTTATTATCTAATCCCCTAAAAAAGATGAACACGTCATTTACAATATTGTCATAGTAATTAACTTTTCAATCATTCATTTATTTATTCATTAATTTTATATATATTTCATACCCGCAAGCAACAAGAGTACCACTTGGAGCATAAGCACAAGCCATAACCCAGATGGTTGGCATAGTAAGAGCATGTTCTTTGTTTGTCGTGAAAGCATCCCATATTATCATTTTACCATCCTAAAACAATTTTTATTTAAAAAATGTTTTATAGATGTATACAAAATATTGAAAGCATATTCTGACTTGTGAAGAGGAGACAATATGACGTTTATCAGGTGACCAATCAGAACAAAGGACTTTTGCTTGATGCCCTTTTAAAACACGTCGTGGTTTCACGTTAATATAACTAATTGCTTCGAGTCTATCTGCTACACTAGCAACTAAAGAAATAAAAACATTATTTCATTAATGTTTTAAATACTACAATTTATTCACTATAGGATATGTAATCAAATGTAGGATTAGAATTAAATGAATGAACTATACAATTGAACTATGAGACTTACGTGTAATATCATTTAATTTCTGTCTCTCATCTTCTAAGCGTACTTTCAAACTTTCAGCTTCTTTCACTAACTTCTCTATATGTTCTGACTCAGTAGCAGAATCCATCATTTTATTTGTATAACAATGTTAACAGGAAACAATTGTTGGCATTGCATATGACATTCTTGTAAAAGTATTATTATAAATCGTTCTTCATTCACTTTAAATACATTTATTAATTAAAATAATTCGTACGTTGTAAAACAGAAAATATAAACAACGAATTACCGATTTTGTCACTTGTCGATTTCAAGAAAAGAATGAAATGGAAATATAATAATTAGTAAAATAATAAATGTTTTCCTGCATTAATGAACTCCTTTTACTTTTCTTTTGACAATTATTCATTTGTTTTTACGCGAAGTCAATGTTAAATATTTCTTTAACACAGTTACGACCAATAATCAATACGACACGACAATAACAAATTTTAGCGTCGGTGCAATAATGCTCCCGCATTCAACCAACTTAACCTGAGTACAATGATTCAGAAAAGTAATAAAACTGTCCAATTTTTTGAACTATTATTATGCATTTTTAAAATAGATAATTTTAAATTTTTACAATGTTATTATTCCGAGAAAATCATACATTTTATTATAGGAATAATAATTTTACATTTCTATTATTGTGTTAAATAAATACATAATACTGTTTTCAGTTAATTGATACTATCTATCATAAATCTTAGTTACATATTTATAATCAAACAGAGTAATAATTTTAACGTAAAATTATGCATATTCATAGCAATAAAATCTTTGAGGAATATTCCTTTTAAATTTAAGCTTGGCGCCAATTTATTATTGAGAATTGCGTAATAGCTTATAACCTCGTACCCAAAATCTATTGTATTAAAAGTGTTATATTATGAAAATATTTAATTGCGTTAGTTTGTTTTAAAAACCTCACTTTAAATATAAATTCTTTACATTGTTTCAGGTGAAATATTGAAATTAAAATTAATCAATTTAAGAATTAGTTTGAATATCTGGATTCGAGGTTACCGCGCAGGTCAATGGATATCGACTTCCTGCCGCTATCGATGTCAGAGTGGGGTTTGTACGGGACGTTCTTCTGCTCGTCCCTGTCTTGATCATTCGCCGTTTCTGACTTTGTAGTCCGGTGGACGGGCTTCTAACATACCAAAATGGCTCTTCTATCTCTACGTTTAGCTTCCTCGATTGCGAGACAACTACCAAACGCTACAATTCAGGTAATTTCAGAAAAAAACTATCTATTTCATAATTTAACCGTTTTTAGAACGCCTATGTGGAACGTGCCGACATTTTCCACTTTACATCAACCTCACGGGTGCATAAGTTAATTAATTTTAATTTTTAATGGAATTAAAAATATTTGATAGATTATATATTTTGTTAAAATTTTATTTTAATTATAATATCTGTCAAATTATTCTTTTATTCAGTATATTACATAAACTGAAGAGTATCAAGTTATGTAATATGTATTACAGTGGCATTATTTCTATAGTATAATGACAATAATTTTAATTGTATCTTACAGGTGAAATGGCCTTTAAGAGTGGCCTCCTGCAAGTATCATGTATCTTGTAGTCGTCGTTCTGCTGAAATTTCTTCCATCTTAGAAGATCGTATCCTTGGTTCAGCCCCAAAGGTAAGTCAATAAGATTTAATTATGTGAATGCATAGGGTTAATTTCAATTGTATATTATAATATTTAATGATAGTTCATTTCACTTTAATTTCTTATACATGTTCTTAAACAATTTTAGACCAACCTGGAAGAAACTGGTAGGGTACTTAGCATTGGTGATGGTATTGCCCGTGTTTATGGTCTCAAAAACATTCAAGCAGATGAGATGGTAGAGTTTAGTTCAGGGTTAAAAGGTATGGCTCTGAACTTGGAGCCTGACAATGTTGGTGTTGTCGTATTTGGTAATGACAGACACATTAGAGAAGGTGACATTGTTAAACGTACTGGAGCCATTGTTGATGTACCGGTTGGTGAAGAATTGCTAGGACGTGTTGTAGATGCATTAGGTAATCCTATTGATGGTAAAGGACCACTCAACAGTAAACAAAGATTTCGTATTGGTACCAAAGCACCTGGCATTATTCCCAGGTATTTATTTTTTAAATAATTATTACCATTTTTTTATTAAATACAATTCTTTCATGTACTCTTGTTTATAGGGTGTCTGTCAGAGAACCTATGCAAACTGGAATTAAAGCTGTAGATTCTCTGGTACCTATTGGTCGTGGCCAACGTGAATTGATTATTGGTGACAGACAAACTGGAAAAACTGCTCTTGCTATTGATACAATTATTAATCAAAAACGATTTAACGATGCTGGTGATGAAAAGAAGAAATTATACTGTATATATGTTGCCATTGGTCAAAAAAGATCTACAGTTGCACAAATAGTAAAACGTTTGACAGATAGTGGAGCCATTAACTATACCATCATTGTTTCTGCAACTGCATCTGATGCTGCACCTCTTCAGTATTTGGCCCCATACTCTGGTTGTGCAATGGGAGAATTTTTCAGGTATTTTTATCTTGTGTTATAAATAATTATTTCTAATTGTGCTAGATACTTTTAAAATAAAAAACACGGCAAAAATTTATGTGTTAATAATTTTGTATAATTTTTTTTATAGGGATAATGGAAAACATGCTTTAATTATATACGATGATTTGTCGAAACAAGCTGTTGCCTATCGACAAATGTCTTTGCTGTTGAGGCGACCACCAGGTCGTGAAGCGTATCCTGGTGATGTATTTTATCTTCATTCTCGTCTACTTGAACGAGCAGCTAAAATGAACGAAAGTTTGGGAGGTGGTTCGCTAACAGCTTTACCTGTTATCGAAACACAGGCTGGTGATGTGTCCGCTTATATCCCTACAAACGTGATTTCCATTACCGATGGTCAGATTTTCTTAGAAACAGAGTTGTTCTACAAAGGTATTCGTCCTGCAATTAATGTTGGTTTGTCAGTATCTCGGGTAGGATCAGCTGCGCAAACAAAGGCTATGAAGCAGGTAATATATTATGTTTATCTAAATATTTATCTTTACATATCTTTAATAATTTTGACAATTTTTTTAATAGGTTGCTGGTTCTATGAAACTGGAATTGGCTCAATATCGTGAAGTAGCAGCTTTCGCACAGTTCGGTTCCGATTTGGATGCCGCTACTCAACAACTGTTGAACCGTGGTGTCAGATTAACAGAACTTCTGAAACAAGGACAGTATGGTAATATTCATGATAAATTTAAATTACGAAAAATTTCTAACATTAGCAACATTTAGAACACAATTCTTTATTTTAATGTTTGTAGTACCAATGGCTATTGAAGAACAAGTAGCTGTCATCTACTGTGGTGTACGTGGATATCTTGACAAGATGGAGCCTACAAAAATTACTGCCTTCGAAAAAGAATTTCTTGCTCACATTAGGTATATACTTTGAAGCAGTTGTAGTATTCATGTTTATTTGTGTTACATACATTCATTTAATCTTACATTTTTGTCTTTTAGAGCTAATCAGCGGGATCTTCTTAATACCATTGCTAAAGAAAATACCATCAGTGAAGCCTCTGATGCGAAATTAAAACAAGTCGTCACTGACTTCCTTGCGTCTTTCTCGGGCTAAAGTGTCAGTATGAAGTAAATAATAATTCTCTGCTATGCAAGAGTCGTGTGCAAATGATATTCATTATTGTAAAAATTTTAATGCATGTCACTTGCACATTAAATATATCATTACAAAGAATTCCACATTTGAATATTAAATCATGATAGTCATATACGGACGCTTAAATACCTTACATGTTAATTGTTAAAGGTAAAATACATACAATTTTGGTATTTAAACAGTTGCTTCTCCTGTCATAATTTTCGAACATAGCAGAAACGGGAGGAGTTTCAGAAAGAAATGAGTAATAAAATTGTAAAACTTTTTAAAATCTGCATCATTTATTATCCTTAACATATACCTCTTTCAACATGAAGTACATTTTCAATTTGTAATTGCAAGTTTTAAATATTGTTTTAAGCAACATCTTCAATTGTAACCTTATTCAGTCTATTTCTGTGAAGTGGAATTTCTTGCAAAATTTTAGTAACCTTTCCTGTACCAATTGTACGTTTATTTTCACGAACAGTGAAAACTTGGCCCTCTAACATTGGCATTTTAAAAAGCAACGTTATTCTACACGTTGCGAATTCTCCAGGCATTAACATTTGGTTTTCTGGTGGCAAAAGTAAATCAAAACGACAATAAACATTCCACGTTGAACTATATATTTTTGTACTAAAACCAGATTTCTATAAAAATAAAATAAGCAGATAAAAGTTATTAGAATTTAAATAAAATTTATATTAGTTACTTATAATAATACCTTCAATGGTTTATCACGACCACCTTCTTGAGTACTCATTAAATATAATTGTGCTTCATAATGATTAGTGAAATTTAAAGACTTTCTTTGGCACAATATCATTCCTCTACGCACAGAACTTAATTTAACACCCCTTACTAAAACACCTACATTTTCACCAGCACGTGCTGTTGCTACACTTTTTTGAAAAATCTAATGCAAATGTATAATTTAAAATTATATAAAAATCTGTTTTATTAAGGACATAAAATTACGGTAGAATATTTATGGTTTTACCTGAATGTCTGCAATACTAGTGTCAATAGCTTCATTAAATCCCAATAGTTGTACCTCCATGCCCTTTTTTATTGTACCTTGTTTTATTGTTCCTACTATTACTGTACCCCTACCAGGTACAGTAAAAACATTATCAATAGGTAATAAAAAAGGAGAGGTATAATCTCTTTCTACAGTTGGTATATGATTATCCAAAGCATCTAATAATAATTTTATGGAAGGTAATCCATATTGAGATGTATCTCCATTTAATGCAAGTAGAGCAGAACCATTAATTACTGGAGTGTGCAAACCATCAAATCCATATATGGTTAATAATTCTCTAGCTTCTATTTCCACTAATTCAAGAATATCTGTATCAACTAAGTCAGCCTAAAAGTTATACAATTATATATAAATAAGTAAATAACTTTGTAATACTGCAAAAAATATTATATTGTATATATATTTCAAATGTTTGAAATAAATATTAACCTTGTTAACATATACAATAATGTATTTAATTCCAATTTGTTGAACTAATAATAAATGTTCCTTTGTTTGCGGCATAGGTCCATCATTGGCTCCAATTACTAAAATTGCACCATCCATTTGTGATGCACCACTAATCATATTTTTTATAAAATCAGCATGTCCAGGACAATCTGTATGTGCATATTGTCTTTTACTAGTGGCATATCCAACATGGGCAATATTTATTGTTATACCACGTTGTTTTTCTTCGGGTGCTTTATCAATCTCATCATAAGATACATATTTACAACTCTTATTTTCTTGTGATAAATACTTTGTTATAGCAGATGTTAGTGTTGTTTTACCGTGATCTACATGTCCTATTGTACCCACATTACAAGTTATACTATCATTTAATGACTTTGTTTTAGTACAAAAGTATTTTACATTTTGTTTAAATTTTAATAAGTTATTTCTGTATAATAACATTGTTAACGTACAATGTTTTTTATGTACATTTTGAAAAACGCTTTTAAATCTACTAATTGTATGTGACATAATTTCTGTATGTAAAGTCTTGTTTTTATTGCATAATTTTTATAAATGATTTTATATGACAACCTCAGCTTTATAAAAGAATTGTTTCATTTACCATAAAAATTAATTTTATAATATAAGTTCATATAACAAATTTCATGAAGGTTTTGTATACACAACAAATTGTTTATGCTTTTCTATGTATACATACACTTGAATTCATGACGGGGTATTACTGTCGAATGACGAACCTTCGTTCATTCTCCTCGGGTTGGTTTTGATTGGTTTAGTAAGTTTCGTAACTAAAGAACCAAGAGTAATGAGCATGTGCTTTTACAACGATTGTAACGTCACTGCACATATCCAATTGTCTTTTATTTAGTATACTTTTCTGCATAATCACTTATTTCTTCTATTTATATATTTTTTCCATTATGTATATATGTCTGATAAATATAAAGAGAGTATCATAAATAGTGGAAAATTTTCCGAAAATTATTCGCGTTAGTTTGAGCTGTGCGAAATTTTATTATTCATTCGTGACTTCATGATAATAATTATAAGAATAATATATATATACAGTAATAAATCATAAAGAATTAAAATGTATTTATTGTATAATTAGAACAATATAAATAATTTATAATTACTTAAAAAATTATCCTGTGCAAGTCATAATTGACCTTGTACATTTGATTTGAAGTTACTGTATCTAACTTTTTATATAGTTTATTCTAGTATATATATATATATATCATTTATTCCGCTGTTGTGTTATCTGTGCGACAATTTAATGAATGAGTAGTTATTGGTTTGATAGATTTTACAAATGACAGTGTCGAATTATTGAATTAATTAAAAAAGTAAAGAAATATTCCAAAAGAGTAGTATGACTTCCATTAGTGAAACTAATTCGTTACCAAAGACGAAAAAACCATCGGGTAAATTTATTGTGATAAAATTAATTTATTGTTGGGTTATGTTAATATTTGGTCAGTATGATTTTTTTTTAAATAAAATGTTTCGTTTATACAGATAGTGCATTCAAACAACAACGTTTACCTGCGTGGCAACCAATACTTACTGCTGGAACTGTTTTGCCAACATTTTTTGTAATTGGAATTGCTTTTATACCAGTTGGAGTTGGATTGCTTTATTTTTCTGATCAAGTTAAAGAATATATTATAGATTATACAGATTGTAATTCTACCAATTATGAGCGGACAAGAGGAGTGCCTTTTAAATGTGCAGATGTTATAGCAGTTAATCGTTCTGAACCATGTTTTTGTCAAATAAATTTTACATTACCTTTTGATTTTATTGGAAAAATTTATATGTACTATGGTTTGACTAATTTTTATCAAAATCACAGGCGATATGTAAAATCACGTGATGATAATCAATTATTAGGAAAATTAAGTGATGTGGTCTCAGGTGACTGTGCACCATTTGCCTATGATAGTGAGAATAGACCTATTGCACCATGTGGTGCTATTGCTAATTCGTTATTTAGCGATGAACTAACACTGTTTTCTGTGAAACATAATACATCTGTACCACTACTAAAAACTGGGATAGCTTGGCCTTCAGATAAAAATATTAAATTTAGAAATCCTGAGGGAGATCTAAGGGAAGCATTCAAGGATTTTGCAAAACCAAAAAATTGGAATAAATATATTTATGAATTAGATGAAGAAAATGAAAGTAATAATGGGTTTCAAAATGAAGATTTAATTGTTTGGATGAGAACTGCTGCATTACCAAATTTTAGAAAACTTTATCGTAGAGTTGATCATACTGCTAATGGTTTTACTGAAGGTTTGGTAAAAGGAGATTATTGGCTTAATGTTACATATTGTAAGTAAACATTATTAATATTAAATATTATTAATTTGTTTAAATCATCTAAGAATAGTTTAATAAAGTGATATTATATTTTTATAGCATATCCTGTATCTGCATTTTATGGCAGGAAAAAAATGATTTTAAGCACCACATCTCTTCTTGGTGGAAAAAATCCTTTTCTTGGTATAGCTTACATAGTGGTAGGATGCGTCTGTTTGTTATTAGGCATTACACTACTAATAATACACATCAAATGTTCAAAGAGGTAAAGATCAGATTTATATATTAAATTCTACATTTTTCTTTTCACTTTCCACTAAATGGTGTTATGCTTAAACGAAGCTTCAATCAAAAGAATTAAAAAATGCAATTGCTTTAAAAATGATAATCTTTTTAAATTAAAAGTGAGATGATATAAATAGAAAAGTAAATACAATTTTTGTCATTTTCATTTATCACACTGCATTTACTATCAGTTTTAGGTAATAAAATTAAGAAAAAGGAATTAATAGCTAAATTAATAAATAATATTATTTAATCATACTTTATATCTCAGGATAAAAATGATTAATAAATTGCTTGATAGTAAGTGCATTATAAAGTTATAGTATAATGTCTTTTTAACATTTTGAGAGATAATTTAATTATAGTATTTAGAATTTCAGATAATACTAATTATTAGAATATTTTGTACTAATTAAGAATACTAAAATATTTTTAAATATGTTTTACTTATACATATTTCACCTTCTGAATTAATGTTCATAAAATATGTTGTAAAACCAAATTTGATAATAAATTTTCATGTAATGTATGTTATACAGCAAACTAATGTAAAGATGACTGCAACAAAGTATGCTTAGGGCACCGTAATTGTTCTTGTAAGTGTTTGTGATATTGTGTTATGTCTATCCTGCAAGAACATTAAAAATAATAATTATTTTACATGTGACATGGCTTCATAAATGTTTTATATATGTTTATATTCTATTGTTTTATTGTAATATTTATCATTAATATTTTCTGTACTTAATATTTTGGCAATGTATGTTTTAATCTTGTTAAAATGTGTGCATGTAGCTTTATTTTATTATTTTTTATTTACAATTTTTTAATTATATAAGATTTAAATGTATTCTTTTTTTGTGTACATCGTTGCATAGTAGTTATGAATGATTCACATTTGCTAATAATTAACATCAATTTTTTTTTGTATTGTATTTGCTTCATAAATTTGCTTTATACATCACATATCACATTCAGTAATTTTATATCATTTGAAACTAATATTAAAGATATATAACAAGATCTTTCATACTACAGTATTATCTTGTTTATCTTTTATATATTTTTTTAATTAATTAATATATGTTTATTTATATAAATTCAAATGTAAACCTAGAAATGAATGGAAACATGTTAGTATATATTTAGATAGGAGGTAAGACATAGAACATTTATTATATAATTTCAAATATTTTGTTAGAAATTAATTAAAGCAATTTTATTTGCATTGAATGAATATATTTATTTTGCATTTTGGAAAACCAGTAAGCTTGCAATTTAATGATTTATTTCTTAATTTTGTATTATAAATTGATCATTAAACCTAATTGTTTAAAATGGTTATATAATTTTATTATATTTTTTGTAGTGTAACAGAGATGATCAATGTGAGTCCAACTACACCATACCAAGAATAATTGCACATAGTTATATAGATTGAAGGACATTATGGATATTCTGCATTTAATTTGTAAGTGTCTATATGATATATTTTATTTTAATTTCTATATATGTGTAGACAAAATTGGTAATAAAACGGATAATTAGATAAAAATATTATACCTACTTTCAAAAAATTTTTAGTATTATAAATTTTGTATTTTTTAAATCAATATTTCAGTATATTTTTTCTGCACTTTTATATTAAGCAATATGGTATCTAAAAAATTACCTAATTTCTTACTGTTGTGTACTCACATATAAAAAATAGTATTGTGTAGTTATATACTACTTGTGGAAGAATAAGAAGTATATAATTAATATTACAGTCTAACAAATATTTAGTTATAAATATATATTTTTTACATGTAAATGTATTAGGATATCCAAAATAATTTCATGAAAGATCAATTTTTTATGTAATTTGAAAATACAGTGAAGAGAAAAGCATGTACAGGAATTTTTATTAATTATAAATAAGAAATTTTTGTTTTATATTGAAAAAAAGTGACATGATTTTTGTGTATCTTAATACATCATTCAATTTTACTTAGTGTATATATTGTATTATTATGTGTTTAATTTTGTTCTAGTCATACATGAATGTATAAATATATAAATAAAAAAATGTAATATTTATTATTATACATAAATGCGTTTATTAATATAAATGCCTTGAAAATGGCTATACTCGCAGAGTAGGCCACATAAATTTATATTTTACTTTACGTTTTGAAGCATCTATTATTCTTCATTTTTTTTCAACCTTTATTGAAAATCCCTAATTTTCAAATTCCCGAATTTCCTTATTCTTAGATTCAAATCATGTTCTTCTGACCTGTATAAAATAAAGTACTACCAGGTACACATTTTCTGTACCAATAATATTACAATATCAGAAAATGTGCTTGAACCAATCAGAGATATATATAGAACGAACAAAAACACGTTCGATGAGTTTAATTTTCCGGGAAACAAATAATAGTCTCATTTTAGTACGTACCTTTAGTACGTTGTTGAAAATACTGCTTGATGTCATCATATGTTTTCAGCTGCATACTACCACGAGTGAAGCATTTGTAAGTTGCTTTTAGCAGTGCCGACTCATCGCATAAAAGATCTTTGCTAAACGTCGCTATATCCTTCTTAAACTAGATCTTTCAAAGTTCTCTTTATCCACTGGCAACCTATTAGTAATTTTTTTATCTTGCAACATGATTATAACACTGAAAAACTTACAGCAGCAAACATTTACAGTGGAAATTGATCCATCGCAAACGGTGGGTGAATATAGAAAATGTAAAATATGTGACTTTCAAAAGTTTGGTATAATCTAATGATATTTCCTTATAGGTAAAAGATTTGAAACAAAAGATTGAAACTCAAAAAGGTTTCCCTGCTGAACATCAGAAATTAATATACGCTGGTAAGCTATATAAATTACATAACCTCATTTTCACTTAATTATAAATCTACTAATGTCTTTATCATTTTTAATTGCATAAGTTTCTCTAATTTTACTATTATCATTTATAAGAAAATACATTGCATTCTCATGATATGTAAAAGTTTCTTGTATTCTTCATAAATTTATTATTGTTTTTATATGTCAATGATTCATAGTTTATAACCATATAATGAGGTATTTTTACAGGAAAAATATTAACAGATGATCACCCATTAGCAGAATATAACATAGATGAAAAAAAATTCATAGTTGTTATGGTTACAAAACTTAAAACTGGTAATGGTCATACAGCAGCTGAAGAAGATCATACAAATACAGAAACTAAAGAAGAAAGTAGTACAACTAGGTACCAATTCAAGATATTAAACATTTTTTTTTCAAATTTAAAGTAAGGTAACATTTTTAGTTTGAATAATAAAAATACGGTAAGTATATTATAATATTATGTACTGGTAATTAAGAAAGGAATTTATCATTTCATGTTTTTAATATGCTTTAAATTCAGTTGTAGAAAGATATTGAATATAAATGATATATTTGATTTGATTATATCATAGAATATTGTTGATTTATGATTTTTGTCATAGCTCAGTACCAGAACCTAGTTCAAACCCTAGTGTCCAGGGTGCATCAAACCCTGTTAGTACTGCACAAGAGCAATCTGCAGCAAGTACTGCTACAGAATGTGCTGGAGGTCAAGCTGAAAGTGCCTTGTTAATGGGTGAAAATTATAATACTATGGTGAACAACATCATGGATATGGGGTAAATTTTTTAAACAGTTGTAATTGTTCTTTGTATTATTTTTTTAGATTCATTTTTTACTGACATACTTTATTTAGGTATGAACGTGAACAGGTTGAACAAGCATTAAGAGCAAGTTTCAATAACCCTGATAGAGCTGTTGAATATCTTGTAACGGGTATACCAGCTCAGCTGTTTGAAGATTTACCAGAAGATCAACTTGAAGCACAGGAACAATTCCAAGATCATGGTCAACATCCATTAGCATTTTTAAGAATGCAACCACAATTTCAACAAATGCGTGAAGTTATTCAACAAAATCCACAATTACTCAATGCTATGCTTCAACAAATCGGCCAAACTAATCCTGCATTGTTGCAACTTATTTCACAAAATCAAGAAGCATTTGTGCGTATGCTGAATGAACCTGGTTAGTTTCATCAGCTGTTAAAATAAGAATAATGTATTAAATCAGTTATTTTTGAATATATGTGCTTTATATTTTTTATTTTGGAGCAGTAGAAACAACTGGTGGTACAGGTGGAAGGACTACACCTGTATCTGCATCAACTGTTGCACCAACTTCTGCTCCTGGTGGTGGCAACAGTGGACCTGTTGCAGGTGCAAGAAGAGGAGGGCCGTTTGTAGAGACTTCCATAATTGAGATAACACCGCAAGATAAAGAAGCTATTGAAAGGTTGAAAGCATTAGGATTCCCAGAACACTTAGTTGTACAAGCATATTTTGCGTGTGAAAAGAATGAAAACTTAGCTGCAAATTTTTTGTTATCACAAATTCATGATGACTGAAGTAATACACTTTAATGATTTCACAATAAGGAGTTAAAGGACTGATATAGGGTGGGTAATTACACAGGCGCCATATTATTTTCTATTGGTGAATCTTCATTTTGTATATAAGTAAGTATGCAATCGTATTTATTTATTTCTTTTGGGCATACATTGGCATGTTAAGTAAATAATAAAAATTTGCTGCAATTAAATACTATAATACTTTTAACATTAAATTGTCAGTCTTTTAAGCTGTTTTAAGTTAAAAGGCATTTTACGTATTTTATGTATTTTAAGATTGAAAATTAATAGTTTGCATCAGTGTTATAATCCATCCTTATAGTCTGGCAGTTATTCTTCGGCAAAAATTTTTGTTTTTTGAATATATGGAGCAGTGTAATTACATTTTTATGTAAGAAAGCCTGCTTGCTTAATAAAGAAATATACAAAATATAAATACGTCAATGTATTTATATGTTAAGCTATTGTACAATACACATACGTGCGAATTTGTATACGCAAGTAAAGTTATACGTGTATTCAAATTCCGTACATGGAAGCGCGCGTGTCTGCGCGTATTCATGACAAGTATATTTTGTACATGTAATAGGCTTTCTGATATAAAAATTATGTAAGTGCATCTGTATATGTATGATTGCATATGTATATATGTGTGTACTTGCGTATAACTTGCGCCTATGTATGTATGTATAAAAAAGTCGTGTATTTTTTAAACAAAAATGGTAAAGATAGTTATTCATTAATAAAACATTATGAATCATTTCATTTTTCACAAAAATAATAAATTGTAAGAAGTTATCAAAGAAAATGAAAATGAAAATTGACCTTAATATTAAATCATTCTTTTTTTTCCCCGAAGGAAAGTCAGTGTAACTTATGTTTATGTAATAATAACCATGCATAAATATCTTAAATGAATAACTTATGTATTCAAACTCAAGGTGACTTATGTGAAATATAAATCTCAAACGAAAATTTGTAATTAACTTTCTATAAAAATGAAGGCAATGAGATTATTATTATAAAAATGCATTCAACATATTGTAGCCTTAATATAGTAATATGTAACTTACTAGGAGCAGTTGAAATTTTTAAAATATTAGTACTGACATTAAAATTTTATTAGAAATATAACACACAATGTAAAACATGATACTATAAAATTACATATTTAATAAATAAAAATTATATAAGTCTAGGCACAAAAGAACATTAGTCTTTCCCTGTTTTAATATGTATAAGCATATAAAAAGAGATATTTCTTGAGGATTTAAGATATTATTTTTATTTTAATATTTACATATGTATTCGAAATATACTTATGTATCTATGTATTTGAACTATACATGTTCTAATACATTGTAGATTTGTAGCTTTAATGTAATGTTAATTAAAAGCTATCTCAAATTTCATCAATCATTAGAACATGTAAATTCTATAGTATAGCAATATCTGATTTAATTTTTATTGTGTGTGAAGTACCAAAAAATACTAAAACAATACAGATAATAATGTTCATATCATTTGTTATTAAATTTTACTTTAAGTGTAATAAATAAATGCATTAAAATTTATGTGAATAAGTAAAAGTGGCTACCTGTGACATCCATTATTTTTATGTAATAAAAATATAAAAGTATTTTCTATATGCGTGAACTATATTTCTAAATACATTTTTCTATAATATAATTTTTTAATTGTAATGTTTTATCATCTTAGAACATTTATTGAGATATGTACAAATGTAACCTATATAAATAGGAATGTTCATCTATTACTGCATTGTTTGGTTTAAATAATATAAAAGCACTCAAATTTATTTATTTTTCAAAATAACACCTTTGCTTTGGAGATCTTTTTTAGCTTCTTCTATTTGCTAAAAAAAAGAAATAAAATTAAGTAAATAGTTTATAATATATATATTTTATATTTATTTGTATACATACTTCCTGTAATTCAGCAGCTGCTTTTTCACAATTATTAAATGTGAACACTCTATATAAGATGATAACAGCTGCATAAACACCACATAAAAATAGTACAATGAGTGGACAGAAAAGAATAACTTGTTGCCATTCTGTGATAAAAGATGAATTAATATTTCCTGTAATCACAGCAGTCCAAATACCAACAAATAAAGTTATAAATAAAAGCCATTCCATTAATTTCGTCATCTGAAAATATCAAACGAAAATTCTTTTGTTCAACAGCTGTAATATTTGTTGTTTGAATGCTTTATAACCAAACAAATGTTATTGAAAGGATTCACAATTCTACGATATGGAACAATTCAGACATTTGTGCTAATACAGAGTATTGCAATAAAATATATATTATCAGAATTATTATGAAAAACTATTAAATAAGGTGCAAAAATAATTTGATTTTACATTACATACCCCACTTTGAAATCAATTGCAAAATCACATATAAATAATTAAATATATATTATTTATGTTTTGATTATGTTTAAAAATAATTGTATGCTATATATTCTTTTAATAAGAAATATACAATGTAAATATTTATAATTGCAAAAAGAAGCACGAGCAGATGATATGTTGCTCTGACTTAAAATTTCTTGTTTCACCGTATGATAGCGCCACGGTATCGTTGTGATATTTTGGTTTGATCTTTACTGATTTTGTACTGAAAGTATTTAGAATAATACCATAGAATTATGAAATAATATATATACCTATTTTGTATATATAAAAAGTATTTAAAAATGTTTGTGTATAGTAAAAATTATATGCCCATAGTGAAGTATTATAAGGATATTTGTAAAAAGTTTCATTTGCGGTTTGCCTCCACAGATTTGTAAGTATATTGAATGTTATAATGAAAATATTTTAAAAAACATTGTCACTGAAAATCAGTACTAATTAATAAAACATCATTTTGTAGAAACCAATGGAAACCCACAATAGGTTTGGAAATTCATGCACAAATTGCTACAAAATCAAAATTATTTTCTGGAGCTTCTACAAACTTTCAAAGTCCAATAAATTCTTGTGTATCACTTTTTGACTGTGCAACACCAGGAACAATGCCAGTAAAGTATAACAAACGTTTTTAACAAATATTTTAACAATTTTTAAATGTATTATTTTTACAGGTATTGAATAAAAAATGTGTGGAAGCTGGAATTTTAACTGCTCTGGCTCTTTCGTGCAAAGTAAATGATGTTTCAATGTTTGAAAGGAAACATTATTTTTACTCTGATTTGCCTGTAAATATGTTTCTCATAGCCATTAAAATTGAAAAGAATCTGTAAGATAAAATATATTCTTTTTTATTTTTATATTACAGTATGTTTTGTAAGACAATTATTTTATATAGGCAGGATATCAAATTACACAACAGAAAAAACCTTTAGCTGTTAATGGAGAAATTAAATTTGTTGTGCCTAAACCAGAAATAAAAGGACAACATTATTTAAAGTCATCAAAAATTAAACAAATACAATTGGAACAAGACAGTGGCAGAAGTTTTTACAATGAACTTACAGAGAGGTATTAGTAGTGACTTTTCTTTTTATTATTGTCATATCTTGAAAAGTAAATTTTACACAGTTTTAATTCCTGACAGAAATTTAATTGATCTTAATCGTGCTGGTATACCTCTGATGGAGTTAGTTCTTGAACCAGACCTAACAACTGGAGAAGAAGCAGCTGCTCTTGTCAGAGAATTAAGTTTCATCTTGCAGTTAATAGGCACATGTTCATGCAAAATGGAAGGTCAATATACTAGTACAATTGTTTTTAGAGAATAATTATGAATTACAAATAAATAATACTTTTATAATTTATAGAGGGAGCATTAAGAGTTGATGCAAATGTGTCTGTAAGTCAAGACAATGCATCTTTAGGTACTCGTACAGAAATAAAAAATATTGGAAGTATACATGCTATTGCCAATGCTATAAGATATGAAATAGGAAGACATATAACCATTTTAAAAAAAGGTGGTCAAATTGTTAACGAGACTCGTGCTTGGGATCCGGAATGCAAGAAAACGATTCCTATGCGTGAAAAGGAAGAGAAACATGTAATGCAATATCAAATTAAAATCAATAACAAGTATATAATTTTGATAATAATTTTTAGGATTACCGTTTTATGCCTGAACCAAATTTGCCACCTTTATACTTACATGTCAATGAAAATATGGAAAATAAATATAATTTGATTGATGTAACATCTTTAAGGCAGCATTTACCAGAGTTACCAGAACAAATGCGACAAGGAGTACTACAGAACCTTACACCTCCCACATATGTAGGGTTAACGGTAAGTTTTACATTTAAGATAAAAAAAATTTAATTCTTAAATTGATCGACCTTTTGCTTTTAGACTGACATAGAATTGTTTAATATATTTCGTAATATATTAGAACATGGAAAACATCGTAATCCTCAGCTAGTAGCTTATATTCTTATCTCTGATATTACGGGTTTTGTACAGAAACATAATTTAGAAATGGTGTATTGGTAAGTTTGTCAAAACAAGATAGAAATAAAATATATTACTTATATAACTAATTTTTAGTATAAATCATCTGAGTTATATTGGAGAATTGATCGATTTAATACAAGATAAAAGAATAAACTATTTAATATTGAGAAAACTGCTAGTCAAGTTACTTGATGGACAGAAGAAAACGGCAAAACAGGTAAAAATAGCTTTTTACGCGAACTAAAATTACCTTGCATTGGTTGTAAATTAATTTTAATTATGCTTTTCACTGGACAGATTGTCGAAGAAAATAATTGGTTCATGATATCGGATGTAAGTGAATTGGAAAATGTATGTTTGGAAGTACTGAAAAATGAACCTAAATTAGTTAAGAAGTACAAGGCAGGACGTAGTCGTGTATTTAAAGTATTTCTACAGAAAGTAGCCACAGCTACAAACGATTGTGCAGATATGCAACAAGCTACAAAAATCCTGACGAGATTGTTAAGCTAATTTTTAAATATATGGTTTTTGCAGCATAAAATATGAAGTACTTTAATAAATATTTATCGTGTTTACCTTTAAAATGTACTTACGTACCTCTATGTTTAAACCATTATGAAATATATAAAAAATTTTAATATTTATTTTTTTATAAATTGCAAATATAACTATAAAAGTAAATGAAAAATATTTACGATTTAACAAACTGAAAACTATCACTTTTCTACGTAATTCCATTTTAGACTAAATTAGCACAAAATTTTATTTTTAACAGCGTTAATCGTATTATAAAATACTTCATAAAAATGTCAGACTATGTTCAGAAAATTTATGTACGTGATATTTGAGGGTGGGACATGTTTATTACAACAGTACAAAGTATAATAACAGCAACAATCTTTATCAAATTAATGAATTTTTAAAGACTTGTTTGTTTCGAAAAAAATTATGAGTCATAAATTTCGTAACATTCATTCTATCTTGTTACATATTACATTTATAATTACCTGTGGAATTATATTAATAGTAAATGTATTATTTTTATAATGATTAAACATACAGTTGTTTGATAAAGATTGAACCGTTTATCACAAATTGTACAAAATGATTTTTTTTATAATTTACAATAACGGGCATTGTGTATATTGTAATACTACTTTCATCCAAATATTTTTCAAATGTAATAAGCACATATATATTGCTATTATATAATACAATGAAAATATCTATATACTAAACAGTTACACAAAATTGTTATTTTATAACAAACATCATTATGAAACAACCATATCAACTTATTTTTGTACAATTTTTTACAATAACATCGTTAAAAAACATGTCACCCATACATTGTCATTTGTTCTCCTTTTCGCTGATTATAAATTCATGTTTTTTTACTAAAATTAAAACTTCATTATAAACATTGCTATCAAAAGCTAATATTGTTTTTTTGTTTTAATCCAATACATTAAATTAGTTATTAAAAATAATAACACAGTTTTCATCATTGATTTCAGTTACTGAAAACAATTGCCTTCATCGCTTTATACACATTAAAAAATTTCACTTGAATCATATTTTTGTTAACAGTGAATTGCAAAATTATATTAAAACATACATTATTCAATGCATGAACTTTCTATTCTCTGTAAAAATGGCAATGATGGAAGGATTACAAATTACAGTCTTCCAGGAAAGGCCACTTGAATAGCATGAAAATCATCCTCTTAATTTACTTCCTTTTATTGTTCTACTTAGTCTTGTAATACGTGACGAATGTTTTCGCTTGCATTACAATTATGGAAACAAGTTTATACAATAAATTTGATATATATATATTTCTGACGTGTTTTTTGAAAGTAAAAAATTTTGTCCTTATTTAACTCTAAAATGCCACATTATCATTATCTATTAAATATTTACAAAATGTCCTTATAAAGAGTCAACATTAATAACGTGAGTTCTTTAAAAAAAAACTGTCGTAAAGAACGTTTGTTTTTTCAATAATTTGAACGAAGTACATTTTGCTTTATAAAGTGACGGCTCTAAAATGAACCATGAAATTTATCTTCGAGAGGAAGAGTTAAATGTGAGAAAGTAAAAATTCTAGATCCTTTATGGTCAACTATTCACAATTCTAAGAATAGGAGCAATGTCTCTTTTCGCTCTTGGCACAGCCACGCGAGTAATTTGATAATAAATTAAATTACTAGCATAAGAATAAATTCATCAATATGTGATGATGTAATATACATTGTAAGAATACTAGCAATAATGATCATGATATTTTATAGCTAAAACAATTCATTCAATGCAATTGTAATGCAACATAAGAAACGCTATACAGCCTTCTTTTAAGACCACTGGAGTTATTTTGATAATTTGCTGATTACTCTGATCAAGGCACCATTTTCATCTTTTAGCCTCTGATTTTCACATTTTAGTTGGTCCATTACCTAAAAAAAGGAAAAATATACTAATATTTTGTGTCACATTTAATTATATTTCTTAAATGAAAAAGGAAAGAAATACAAAGGCAATACCGTTGTAAATTAGGTGAAAAAAACGTTTGAAAAAAAAAATTGGAAAGGGGAAACAAGCATATATTGTTGCAACTAAAGCTTTAGAAACCAAAACAATATAATAATTTGATGCAAACTAAAGGAATAATGTTAAACGAGCAACGTAATATACATTTATGTAACAGGTGGGTGTAATTGTAACACCATACTTTTACACATAAAAAATCTCTTCAATATAATAACAATTATGTATGTACTACCCAATATGGAGCATACTATATCCTTTGTGCTTATAATAATAATTTTAAGTGGTGTTATATCCTAATATAATATCTTTGATGAAACTGTGTTTACCAAATAATATACTTAGTGTTAATTTATATAGATTATGTTGTTAAGAATATAGTTTTTCCACTATTCTTATAAAAATGTTATACTTTACTTACTGAATTTGATCATGCATCTTATAAAGCTTCCCATTACAAAATTATCATCACACATCAAATGAAGAATGATATGAACAATAAACATTGGACATTAAAATATTAAAATAAAACAATGAGTAGTGTAATTAAAATATTACATTCTTACATTGAACATGCGTTGTACAAAATGTAAAAATATTATTTTATAAATATATCTTGTAAAAAAGATTAATTATAATTTTTAAATTATTTTTTAAAACGAAAAAGATTGTTTTCAAATTCGTAATTTCTGATGTGATATTATCAGAAAATTATAAATTTAATTCCAATTTAAGTTTTGTTTAAATTTTATTAATGAATTGGGCTTGTGGAAAGGAAAATATTCTTAAAAATGAATTAGAAGACAGACTGCGTTTTTCAATGCCAGTTAACATACATCTACATGTTTGATATAAAATACCGAATGGCAATAGTGCGATTTTTATCTATTTTATTTAATAGTATTTTTTGCAAGAATTTAAAAATATAAAATATGGACAAAAATTAATAAAAATACACATTATACATTTGAAAGGGTAATTAGTGGAATGGAAACAAATTTAGTTTTATGTAATTACAGCATAATTTCCATGAAAAAAATGTATTTTATGTAAGCTTTAAATTCTTTTACGATAAGCTGTTATAAATTGTTTAAATAAAATTGTTTGAATGATCGTAATCGCACGAAATGTATTTTGCGAAGCTGTATTTGTAAGATAAGTCAGTGAGCGACATCGTTTCAAAGTTTTAATATTGCAATTAATTAATTAATATTGTACGTGAAATACGATGTACACTGTTAACGCAGATGCTGTCATTATATCCTTTACCTATTTAGTAGTATTGGTGAGTTTGGATACGACGCGGGTAAGTGCCCGATTTTCGGCTTTCAATCTCTCATTTTCAGCTTTGAGTTTTTGTAATTGCTGTAAACAGTGAAACGATTAGCCCAAAATCCGCTTGTCTTATAAAAGGCCCACCAGAATAATAATATGTAATCTACATCATTTGTTACGTTAACAATGATTTTCAAGTATCACCAAATACAATACCATAATGTGAACTCTAAACCATATGTAGTTTGTATAATAAAAAAGGAAGTACAAAATGCCAATTGAAAACCATTATACTGCGTAAATAATAAGCGCGATTATTCAATAAAAATACTAAAAATAAAAGCATCAAGAAATGGCAAATAAAAAAAAAGCAATGCATTAAAAGCAGCTTGTACTTTTGTGATTCTTCCTTAAATCAACCACTCCAGAAATGCTGAAACCTCCTCTGTATTTAGTCATAACAATCAAAACATAATTGAAAAAATTGTGACGTGCACTCTAACTAAGGAATATACGTATAATTAAACATTTGTAGAAATACATGAACGTATAATAATAGAAATTATGATATATTAAGTATAACTATTTAGCTGAAATATGATTTCTGAATCAATGTTACATATTTTTATAACACTTATTTTTGTAAAAATATTAAGTATATAGTATGATAATGTAAATATAGAATGGAAATCATTCGTTTTTACCTTCAATTCTTCCTCCATTTCCGACAATTTCCTTTCCATCGCTCTCCTTTCCCTTTTCTCAGCTTCAGATAGAACGGTCTTATTTTGTGTGCTTTGCGCTTTGTCCAATAAATTTCTGACTTCTTTCAATTGTTCATCCGACCGCCTAAGTTTTTCTTTAAGTCTTTCATTTTCTGCTTGAGATTCTTCGTATAATTTTTTGTAATCTAGTTCACCGTTTTCAGATGTTGTAGATTTTATTCTAGTCGACATAGAAGGTGCCTCCGATGATAACGAAGATATAGATCCTAGTCTATTAGATCTTCCAGAACGATCATTTCCACTCTGGAAAACAAAATTAAACAAAGATAATGTATAAAAAAAAATTAAAATTCTATGATTAAATTCATCTACAAATCATAAAAAGTATTTCTCCTTATACAGAATTTAAATATATTTTCTTACAATGTATCCTTCAGAACTGGCTAAACTTTGTAGACTAGAACTTCTAGATCCAATTTGAAAATCTGGTTTTATTCTTGTTTTATTAAAGCTTTCAGTTCTCTGTACTTGAGAGTTGTTTGGATTAAGACTTAAATAATTATAATTTGTGGATGATGGTAACCGTAAAGAATTGATATTCAGTGGCAGAGTTATACTTCCATATCCTGACGTAGTTCCACCATATGTTGTGTAAGGATTTTGATAACTTAAATTGCTTGTGGAATTTGAGTAAGAATTTTTTTTGAATGAGTCATTACTTTTGGAGACTTTATTTAAAAAATTTGGCACTCCAATCGAATTTCCATTAACACCTAACAAACTAGAATAGCTATTTTGATTCAAAGGAAATAGTCCAGTAATACTTCGTGATCTGTGTCCAAAAATTGAACTTCCATTTGCAGATGCTTGAGCTCTTAATCCTGCAGCTGTTGTTGGCTTTGCTTGGGATCTTTTTCTGTAGGATGACATTGTTTATAAAACTGGTACAATTATTTTAAAAATTGTATTAAGTTAATCACGTTTCTTTTAGAACTGCTATTAAGATTTTACATATTATATTTTATATAAGGATTTGGACATATTTCATGATTTAATGTAATACTACTTTGTCACAAAATGCACAGTATAAACGATCTAATTCTAATGACAGCAAGAATTTGACTGACGTGAACTGGGTGGAGGAACTTAAAACATCGGCCAGTTTACTCTAAAGCATCAGTTGGTAGGTTATTTATAAATCACATGCATAAACCTATACTAATATCAAGGTTGTATGTTTTAGAATAAACATATTTGCTGTTTCAGTCTCAAAAGGTTTTATGTGATTAATAAATACTATGAAACATATATATACATAAATGTATATACATATATTTGTGCATATAAATTTATTTTATTAACTATATAAAGTTAATTAATATATTAAATTATATTATTGAGAATATATATGAACATATCTGCATACATGATAGTGATAAATAAAAGTAATGACTAACTGAAATAATTTTATTAATTATTATTTATCAATTTACTCTGGTTTTGAATTTTACCTACTACATGATATAACACATCATAGTAAGATTCATTTTACTACATTTCTTAAGTTTTATTTTATTAACAAATATTTTTAGCAGTATGTAGAAAGAATAAGGAAATTCCTATTAGGTTACCCTAAATGTCAAAGTATCAAATTGTTCTAAATGTCGATAGGATATTTTTAGATACCGCCAAGCCATGTTCATGATCAATTTCTTTTTATTTTTGTTTCTTATTTCATTCATCCAAATAAATCTTTATTACCAATTCCCTTTAAGAAAACTGTATTTATTGGTATTTCCAGTTTAATTTTAAGATGTAGTTTGAAGAAACATTAGTAAACTATTTTTAACAAAGCATACATGCATAGGGGTTAATCTTCCCAGAGACTAACCTAAAAATAACACAAAGCGACTTGGGCTTCATGAAATTGCGTTTATATTAGAACGGTTGTACATAGTACTCGATGATTTTGTTAGAAATGCACTATAAAAATAAACATTTAGCAGTTAACATATACAGAATTTAGACTATTGCACACCAATTTTATTGTAAAAATAGAAAATATGATAAAAATAAAATTTAATGAAAATAATAAATATTTATAAATGATTATCAGAGAATCATTGTAATGCAGAGACATTGATTTTCAATATATGATTGCTAAGTTATTCAAATAACTGTTAATACAATTTATACGTTTTAAATAACACAAATGATAAAACTGAATCGCTTACCTCATGGTTAATTTTGTTCTCGTCACAATCACCTCCGGCAGTTAAGTCTTGTTTTTCAGGATCAATTTCCTGCAAAATATTTGATTAAAGTTTCCACTAGTAAATCTGTTCAATTAACAAATTAAAATATACTACTACAACGTCAACGAAAAATTGAATTTATAAAGAAACATAATTATTACTAACGTCCATATCAACGTGAACAACGCCTGTAGATCTTCTTTTGGGTCTCCGTCTCCTTTGTATCACAGCTTGTGTAGCTTGTGCATTTCTGCTATCATTTTCCTTATCTTGTTCTGAAACGTATCAGTAGAAGTAAAATAAAAACTAATATTTGTAAAATTCAAGTACCATATGTTTTAAGTTTCGACGAGTATTATCTATACCTTTATCTTCAGGTTGCTTCAATGGTCGTCTAAGTGGTAATGTTACGGTTGTTTCGGCACTGCTTGTTGCAATAGTTTCAACGGGAGCTGACGACGGTCTTGGTATACTAGCACCTGTGGAAGGTCTTCTCATATATGCTGTAGTAGTATCAGGATTAGGTACCATGGTGGTTCTGTTATTGGCGTCTTCTAATTGGAACTATACAATAAAATTAATGTCTTAAATTTTATGTTATAAAATATATATGTATATATTTTGTTTATACAAAATATGCTACAAACTTGAAACCTACTTATATATGGTATAAATCACAAACCTTGCTCCCATTATCTACTTTTAACCTCCACGAAGGCCGCCTTTCAGGCAAATTAAGTTCTTCAGAGGATTTATTTGTAGTCACAGTAGTAGGAGTTGCTGTTGTTATTGTAGCTGTAATTGAGGCTGTATTGCTGGTAGTAGTTGCAGGCTATGTTATACAAAAATTAAATAAATAAAAAATAAGAAGTAATAATTGTAAAGCTTTCAGCACTATAACAACACTTAGTATATAAGAATAGTTAATATAAAAATGAAAACAACAAACTAGTTATGTACCTAGTTTATAAAAGATCGTAAATTAATTGCATATATTATGAATATGTATTTAAAAGCTAAAAGTGATATTACGAAATAAAGATTTACCTGCGTAGAAGATATTGTAGTAGGAATTTCATTATTTTGTTGCTTTTTCTTCACTAATTGTTCTGCGCTTTTGATTTCATCTAACGTTACACCCTGAGTCGAACGTCGAGTTTCCCTCACTCTCTTCGCGTGTGCTTTTCTCTGTGTTTCACTTTCTTCATCACGAACCGGAGGAACAAAAGATCTAAACAAACATTATGTATACGAGATTAATAACATTATGATTAGTACTTTTATTACGTTCGAAAATTTGTTGTAAAATATAACAAAATCTTGAAGAAGCATTAAACATTGTCATGAACACATCCAAAAGCAGCATTTACAAATATCACATAAAACAATTATACTTTCATTTGAAACGGAAACAATAATATTATTATTCATTGTAATCATGATTATATGTATAAATATTACAGTAGTAAGTGTAATATTTAATATTGAAAACATTGTTTAAATTTTTAATAAATATATACCTGCACAGATAAAATATATTTTGATGTATTTAAAACATGCTAAAATTAATGAAAACATGACTTGCTAATATACGTATTTTATTCTGTTTTTAGTTATTCACGACAAATGCGTGCACATGGAACGATTCTGTATCAGTATTAGAAAATTGATAAACAGTATGTATTATTAAAAGGATACAAAATGTGAAACTACTTATGTGATTAAATAAATTAAACCAAATGTTTCGATGGCAGTGTTCCTGAACTGGAAATATTTTCACTAGTAAAACAAGGCAGTGGTTATTGGGGTAAAAATATTTTAGGATAAAGATACGCAACTGAAATAAATAATCACACTGCAAAGCAAATGTCCATGCCACTGCCAATAACTTAACATCATGTGTATAGATATTATACGATATGCGAAATCACACATTTCAAGAGAATCTTCTCAGGTCAAACATTAAGTACCCACTTGAAGAAATTCTTGAAGATATTTCCTGGACTTAGTTTGCTCCCTCCTGGTGTAGTGGGAGTTCCAGGAACTGCTACTGAATTGTTTGTAGTTGTACCTTCCACTGGTTGAACACTACTCAACCATATTAACATCATTGTACGATGTAAATATGAATATATAAACTTTGGTCTTTAAAAGTGTTTCTTTTAAGCATATATAACAATATACTCTTTGCATAATTAAGTTTAAAATATCTGCATATATTCTTTTATGTCTTTTACTTTTCTTTAAAAAGTTATAGAACAATACCTCAATGACCAATATTTTATTACACTTTTAATCAAATTTATAAAAAATAAATTTTCTTTTTCTTAATATTTACCTGCGAATTTGATTGGTTGGAATAGGACTTGTTGTAGTTGTTGTTGTTGTGGCAGTTGTAGTAGCTGTAGCTGTAGTAGTTGGCAGTGTACTTGACACTATTGTTTTAGATGTAGATGTTGGTGAAAGTGTATTGCTTCCTTGTGGCAGTCTTGATAGTTCCAAGTTTAATTTTGCTTCTTTTCTTCTAAAGTTAAAACAGCATAGTTGTTACATCAAACACAGATATTATTTTATTTACCTGAATTTTATAAAATTAGATCATTTACGGCAAACAAACTGTGAAATTTCATATTCTATTTGTAATGTACACAAAAGTTATTAATGTTCAAGCAAAGCAAAAGCAAAGAATGGAAAAGCTTAATAAATTAATGATCACAAATGTAAATAAATAGCATATACGGAAAAAATGGAGAACTTGTGGTACAATACTAAATAGAATTATACATATTGAAAGCATTAATATACAAATCACGTATGAAACATGCGCACCTGTAGGTTTCGCGTAGAGATGCAGAACGGGTCGTAGTATTGGTGTGAGTAGGAGTAGCTGCATTGCAGCAATGGAGAGTAGGGCAGGAAAACGCCTTGATGCGAGCTCGTAATGCCATGTACTGCTCATAGAACCTGCATAACATGCATCATGCCATGCATACAACTAAACTAATTTTCAATATGCGTAAAGCTCAAGAATCTACTGCATTAAATGTTTACACAAATAATTGCTTACATGTGCAAACACTGATATAAAAAATAATAAACGTAAGACTAAATGATATGCGGAACTATAAACAGTTGTAATGTAACACAGAGGTAAATATGTTAACAGAATTTGTGTGATATTACAATAAATGAAACTGCAAAATTATAATACTACGCGCTTATGGATAAATACTTTTAACTTACTTTTCATCTGTCTCAAAACTATGTGTTCTTGTCAATACCACATCGGGTTCTGTGTTCAATTTGTTTGGTATTGTTGGTGATATAATATTTTTATCTTTTTCTTCAAGTCCTGAATATGTATACAAAAGTAAATAAAATAATTCTAAATTAAAATCACGTAAATTGTTACTGTAGCAATAACTTACTTGTAGGTACAGTATTTGTTGTTTCTGTGTTTTGTATTCTATTTCTGAAAGAGCCTGAACGCCTCCAGGATGGTATAACTCCTTCTTCGTTATTATCAGTCTGTTGCTTTGGAGGCATTACTGGAGCCTAGAAAAATAATTAGAAAAATGAATTAGAATTTTTTTTAACTTTGTACTGCAAAAATTAAATATTTACAAAACTATTACAAAAGCAGTACCTGATTAGGAACTTTATTAACTTCGACAGGAGACGACGAATTACGCGGAGATGTTTCTTCCCTATTCGCTCTATTTTTCTTTTCTGTAAAATTAAATTAAAATTAATATTTTCCATGAATGTGTTACTCAACAATTACTTTCTACGATAAAAGGGAAATCGATGTAGTCACGTATTCGTTTATTGCATTGAAAAATTAATTTTAACAACCGAACTTTTAAATAGCATTTTTAAAATGAAAAGGAATAGAAAGAAAACATATGTATCTTATAATACATGCAACAAAGTGTGATTTTAATAATATAAAAACAGTCTTACAGACAAAACTCACCATCATCTGTAAGACATGGAGAGTGGTTTGATTCGTTAGACTTATCAGATTGATTGGAGTAAGTGGAAGAATGTGAGTCTGAGCTAGTCTCAGATTCACCTTCATCATCACTCTCTTCCATATCTGTTTCACGTGTCGCTTCTGTCCATGCAGCATTGTTACAAGAAATACAAATTGCTGTTAAGGTAAGTAAAATAGACTTGCAAAACTGAACAGTGTGCAGTATATCTTTCATAAAAATATATTCCTACCTAAATCAGCACTTCCCAACCATTTGTAAATGGATTTAAGTAAACGAAAGCGTTTTTCAAAATAAAACATGTTAAAAAGAAATATGTAGTAATATTATATCTATGAAGGAAAAAATGATTGAGAAATACTAGCTCCATCTTTTAAATTTGCAGAGTGTTCTAATAGTACTACTTTGTCGCATTTTCAACATATTTTTCTAATGCAGTAATACTTATGGAACATTCTATACACATATAGTAAGTTCACAAATTCATCACCATTTAGTAATAAAATAAAACAATCCGTCAAAATGTTTAAATGTGGACATGCAAATCAGCAAACCCATTAATAAGTAATGTAAATTGAAAACATACCAACATCACTATTTGTTCCAGTACTAGAATCTTCTTTATCAGACTGAATTTCTAATTCAACTTTTTTAACTTTATTTGGCGTTTCTTCTTCAAATGTTTCCACAGATTCTTGCGTAACTATAGTATTTTCATTACTTGTTGATACACTGAAATTTAAATAAAGAAATTAATAAAATATTCTTTTTTTCCATACATTAGTTATTAATTATTTACTTTACAAACCGTTTCTTTGGTATAGTTGGTTGTTTTTTATTAATAATTTGTGGATGATCTTTCATTAACTGTTGTTGTTTTGCCTTCAGTTCCTTTAAGGCTGATAATATATTGGTATCAGCAATATCAAATGCAGTTTGATCCTATCAATGTAAAATTATGAAAGAGACAATTTGTTTTTGTATATAGTATATGACAATTTTAATCTTACAGCATAATTCTTAATGTCCATATTACAAAAATTTTCCACTAAAAGTTCACAAGCTTCTAATTGACCCCAATGTGCAGCAGCATGTAAAGGTGTCCAACCATCAAAATCTTGGGCATTGACATCGCATCTAGCCTGTAGTAAGATTCTGGAACGTAAATTCTAGATATAGCAGATAATAGGTAACAACTTTATTTATTACCTTTATTTAAATACTTTTGTTTGATAATTGATTCTACTAAAGTTTTAAAAAGTCTTACTCCATAACATCAACATAACCCTTTGCAGCAGCAACATGAAGTGCAGTAGCTCCTGATTTAGGATGAATTGCGTCCTTGCCTGCTGCTCCTGCCTGCCATGCTCTAGCATCATTCAACATTGACCTTTCTTCTTCACTTCTAGCATGATCACAATCTATACCTATGATAAATTTGAATTAGAAGCACATCCTTTCTGTAGTAGTAATTAAATGATCATTTTGGCAAACTATTTATGAACACAAACCAGCTTTATTTATATGTTGTTGCAGCATATCTTCCATTTCATCAGTTTGTGCTATATCAAGAGCTAACTGACCGTCATAGTTGACTGCTCCTAAATTACATCCTTTTTCTATTAAATATCTAGAAAACATGTTATTTTATTATAAACAATTTCTGAAATTTATTATCAACATGTAATTGACATAAATGTATTCATTATAAAAATGAAAATAATACTAACTTTGCAATGGATATAAATCCACAAGATGCAGTTGCATGCAGTGGTGTCCATCCCTCGTTATCACCACAATTGATATCAGCTCCTTGTTCCACTAAAAACTCGACCATATCCAGATCATCATTGATACAAGCCTATAATTAAAATGTTGTATTTCCTCTTAGTTAGACTATAAGGCTAAGCAAATATATTATTATAAAAATTCTATATACAAATAGTATGTAATATGTATCAGGTAGAAAAATCACATCTTAAGTATTATTAAGCACTAATGCATAATGATATAATACATCTTTAATAATGCTAGATAATTATGTATTAATTCAATATTGTAACATACATATTAATATTGGAAGTTCATTGGAAATACTGAACCATTTAATTATTTTATGGTTTTGTATACACAAACACAAAGTGATACAAATGATATTTAAAAGAGGATGTCTTATATGGATTAAGAAGGACATTATGTATAATAACATTTTAAGACAGAGGACATAGAATACAGATGCTGCAGCTTCTGACTTCTAACAGAGAACTATAAATAGCATTTGATGCCTGATGTATTTTCACATTCTATTTTCGCAAATCCATGAAATGCCTAAACTTCCTCGTACTATCATGCTTAAATAACAGTAACAAATACAACAATTTTTCTGTAAAATACCTCATTTATACATACCTTTCCAAATGAGTTATTATTTACATAAACATAATATAAATTTTTTGTGAATAGTATTAATTGCATTATTATGTAATAACTATAAAAGGACTAATTTTATTAAAATTTTAAGTATTTCAATTGAATAAATACAAATATTAATTAATAATTAGATACTAATAAAATAGAATTAACTCCAATTTAATTTAACAACCGCTGGAGTTTAAATAGTGCTCAGAAAACTGTACAAATTTTAATATAAAAGATTCAATATGTTAAAAATAAATTTGACACAATGTATATAAGATAACGATAATCTGAACATTATGATATTCATTTATAGCTAATATAAAAAATTACAACTGCAATTTATCAATAATATTAACATTCATTTAAATGAGATTAACATTATACAATATATCTATTTAAAATGATTAAATATATAATTAATGATTACATAGCAACAATTGTATAAAACATAGATTAATATTGTAATATTTGTACATTAATATTATGACTGTAAGTTGTTTTATTAATGTACAATAAAAATACAACTTGTAACTTTGTTAAACATATAAAAAACAAAAGTGACACTACAAAAGCAAAACATTAATTTTATTTATGCCTATCTTTATATTACAGGATTTGTATTCGCTATCAAAATAAACTAGCAAATACAGAGCACCTGTTCTTCTCAGGCATTTTGTGCTCTTTTCATGACATTTAAGTATAAACAACAGTTTTCTGAATCTTTTTTTGCCTATTCAGATTTAAGTAAAAAATTATTGAATTAATTTTAACGAAACTTGTACAGTTTACAGATAACATTTCCAATCACAATCTACTTTTTGTTTCATGTCAATAGCAGTTCTTAAGTTATAAGTAGATTGTGTATGTTTATATGTTTAAGATATATCAAAGTATGGAAGGTATAATAAATCATCTAATCCGTGCAAAAAGAGTAACATAATATATTAGAATTATATAATTCTAATATAATTCTAATATATTATGTAAAATTTAATTTTTGAACATAGTATTTATTAAATCGAAGGTATAGATATATTCTTGAATTGTTAGTACCTAATAATTATAATTCGATTGAATATAATTTATTTTTACGATTCTATCTTTATCAAAACTCAGGCAATGACGGGTGAGTCTGCTAATTAAATAATAAATGTTTCAATACAAACAATTAGAAATATAAATAGAATTGAAATAATTTTACAATACAGTAAGATTAGAGGCATTTTCTTCCATAGGATTTAATTTTCTACATATATAAACAATATTGGTAAAAGGAGGGGGGGGGGAAAGCGATCAGTTTTGTCGGGTGTTTTCAGAGGGAGTAGTTGCATGGCTTGAATAGTGAGAGATAGCGGAAGCGTATACTCCGTGGCGGAACCACATCTGCATTTTTCCCACCATTAAATGTAACATTGCAAGTACCAAAGGAACTTTAAGCGATACAATTTCAATTAAACAGCTATAGAGTACGTGGTAGTCATCTTCTAATAAGAATTATGATTCATTTGCAATTGGAAAGAGGAAAAGAGAAGCAAATCTGAAGAAACTCGGTCGAGATTGTTGTCGGGCATATACCTGTGTATAGGAAGAAATTGTAGGATATAAACAAAAGTGTAAAAGGGAGTAAATGATACCTGATGTAATGCTGTGAGTCCGTCAACATTTCCGGTGTTGATATCCGCCCCCTTTTGGAGTAAACGTATGACCTCCTCTTTGTCGCCTGCCGCGCATGCTGCCAGGAATACACAATCCGCAGAGAACTTGATCTTCCGTGCGACTTGACGTGGTTGGGCCGGTTCACGATTTGTTTCGGACTGTTCCCAACGTTTCAGCTGTTCAGCCCTTTTAAATAGGGCTGAACTCGAACGACTTTCGAGAGACATTGCCCGAAAACACGCACGACTGCACTCAAAGAACTTTATAACCACTTCGCACGATCTCCTCTTCTCTTTCTTTCTCTTCTTCCCACTCTCTCTCTCTTTTTCTCTCACTTTCTCTCTCTCTCTTCTCTGCGCTTTTGGATTTCCACTTCGCCGAGGCCACTACACTTCAGTTCACTTTGCGTGATTCGACACGCTGAAACGACCGTTTTCTGCTTCTTACCTCCATATACGAGTTGATCGCGAATCCCGTGTTTTTCTACAAAAATATATACGTTAAAATTCGTTCTGACGGACCACGAAGGGAGCGGTCGGTCGCCTTCACCAGACTCAGTTACAGGACGGCTAGATTCGCGTGCTCTTTGCTATTCTTGGCCGTCCCGTACCGTACGAGCCGTGTCGAAACCAACGAAACAACCTGTAGTCTAGCCAACATTTTCTTCCTATATGTTCCTAACTTTACCTTCGTTCCCGTTCGCATGTATCCGTCAACGAAATTCGATTCGCGCAAGATGACTAACTTCAGTAGTCTTCTTACCTTTTTCACCTATCATATGCTTTCTACTACGTTGGCTATATACTCTGTGAATAAAATGTCTAGGTAAAATAAAATATTGGCTTTGGAAATCGAAAAATTTGAGGATTTGAAAATCTGTAACTCTGAGAATTTCATGTATCTAATAAAATATGCATTTTCAAACTTCAACTCAATCCCATTCAAGTCTATTTGAGCTACATTTCAGTCTGGAATCCTGGTCACTAATACATCCCTAAGGAAGATGTAATGATGCAGGAAGTTTGCAAAATAGAAGAGCACTGGGTATACATGCGCAGAATGATCAAAAACTTGTTAGCTTATGGGTGCGATTTCCCGTAAACGATTAATAAGGCGTATTGTTATGTGTAACAAAAAGAGAACATTATTATATAAATATGATCTTTATATTATATTAGTTTGTTCCATACGTATACATACGATACGCTCTGAAAAATTTCTATGACCCTACAGTTTTGTGTTATAAAAATTCATATTTGATATAATAGTAAACATACATAAATGTAAAATATAATTAGATATTTTAAATTTTGTAAAATTACACAAATATATATCTCTTATATAAAGAGAAAAATTGTTGTATAACTTATTTGGATATAGCAAAAATTGAATTTGGATAGTTGCTTAGAAAGATCAGTAATTTTTCTTTAAGATGTTGACACTTGTTTTTTTTATTTCTCTAGGACTATGAAATCATTTAGGTTTTCATGAAAGTCATTCTTGGTTGAGGTTAATGATAGTTGTAATTAAAAATTATAAAGAAGTAATTTAAAGTGTTATTCAAATTGTATCTTGTGAAATAATGGGGACTGAACAAATTCTGAAGTATGATATAAAACAGTGTTTAAATTTGATCGTGATCGGTGAAGATACAGAGGTTATTGAAGGATGGACTAGACTTAAAAAGTTAGAAAATGAATCTGTATATGAACAGTTAACTAATTACGAAAGTATTTTACGAGAGCTATTGAATGGTCGAATAAAAAATGTGCAGGAAGTTCCAAAAATCCTGATGTGGTTCGCAAAATATCTGCCAGAGGAATCACTGAGTGCTCATTTAATTTCAAATGACATAGCAACAATGTTAAGAAATACAGAAATTAGTGACATGTCTCATTTAACTATGATACTTCAAGTATTATTGGATCATAGTGTCTACTTACCAAATTCTGTAAATCATACGAAACTCTGTGAAGCAATTATAATTTGTTTGTCTACTTTTTCAATGCCATATGAGCCAAAAAAGATTCTGGAGTTCAATGACAATGCCACTAAAGTTCAATTCTTTTTAAAAATAGTACAAACCACATCGAAAAGTATAGAAAATAATTTAATTTTCATATGCCTACAAACATTATATAGAATTATATCAGATACTAAATGGAAACCAGATCCTGGACCAGGGTTGGCTGCTGTATTACAAATAGTGGAGCCTTCTATCATACCGCAAGCTGTATTTTTGATTCTTTTTGAATCACATTGTGACTCTCAATTAACCCAAGCTTTAAAAGTTCTTTGTAGTTGGCTTCCAAAGTGGAGAGGTGATAGACTTAGCATTTGGATTATGGAATTTATACTTGGTTTAGAAAAGCAGCACAAATATTCTATACTTATGGAAGTTACCAAAGCATCACTTCATGCAATGTTTTGTGCTTTATCTGTACCTGTAGTTCGGCAGAATGCTTCAACAATTACATTTTATGTTTTAAAAAGACAAGGCCATCCATCTTTATTTAGAAATATAGTACGTAATACACAAAATGTTCTGTCCCATTTAATGAAGGAAGATTCTGAATCAAGCAAGGAATGCTTACAAAATTTAGTTGATATTATGAAAGTGCTTATGTTAAGATTCCCAGGTCTATCTGTTTTCAACAATTTAGAAAATAATTTACCTGTGCAACCACGAATGCATATTGTTAAGAAACTAAAGAATGAACATGTGTGGGTTGATGAAGTGGAAGAGATTGAACCAATAATTGAACCAATTAAAACACATGTCCAAAAAGTTGGCCTTTCAAATCTTGGAAACACATGTTATATGAATAGTGTGTTACAAGCACTGTTAATGACCAAGCGATTCTGTTATGAAGTACTAATGTACAAACCTGCAAGCAAAGCTGAAGATCAAGTTGTACTTAAGAAGTTACAAAATCTGTTTACTTTGTTGTTGTATTCCAAAAGGATTTCTTTGGCACCAACTGAAATTTTACTGGCTTCTCGTCCTGCTTACTTTCTACCGGGTCAACAACAAGATAGTTCAGAATTTCTCTGGTTAATATATTGATCTTAATGCTTATTTTTTTTATTCTAATTCCATAAGTTTTTAATAATGCTTTGAAATATGTATTTGGTGACTTAAATATCTTTTTACATTTACCAATAATTATTAATTTTTAACAGCCACCTGTTAGATCTTTTACATGAGCAAGAAAAGTCTGCTACTATCCTCTGTATCTTTAACAAGGGTAAGGATGATAAGGAAATAAACGACATATCGGTAAATGAAGGAGTTAGTATTAAGCGTTGGACAACTGAAGAAGACTTAAGCGGTAGCATAACTTTAGGAAGAAAAACGCAATCATTAGCTGATTTTACACAAAGTAAATTACATTTCAAATACATTTTACTATGTCTTTGTATTAAAAATAAATGTTATACTCTGATTAATCTGTCACAGGAGAAGATTTGGCACAAGTACAACAACTTAGTGATTCACATTCAGATTCAAGGGATAGTGGAATACAATCTGTAGGTGGAGAAGATACGAATACACAGGTACCTCTTGTACATAGAGTTCTAGGAGGAAAATGCAAAATTACCTATCAGTGTGCTCAGTGTGATACCAGTTCTCATAACACGGACAAATTTCGGGACTTGCAACTAAGCTTCCCAGAAGAAATACAAGAGAATCAAGAAGTTTCGGTACAAGATCTTATTAATTATTATCTTACACCAGAAAAACTAACTGGTGAAAATAAATATCGATGCGACAAATGTATGAAGTTATGTGACGCACAGAGAATCATCAAAATTTTGCATGCACCGACATATTTGATCTTAATACTAAAACATTTCCGTTATGATTTTGACACGAGACCAAGAACGAAACTGCGGCATAAAGTGATGTATAATGAACACATACAATTACCGGTATCGACACCATCATATACAAGTACAGAAACGTATCAATTATACGCCGCCGTTGTTCATTCGGGCTACAGTATGGATTATGGTCATTACTTCACTTATGCCCGTGATTCGAAACAAAATTGGTATAAATTCAATGACAGCTACGTTTCGCAAACGACGTTCAATGATTTCAAAGAGCTGAAACCACCGGATACACCTTATATATTATTTTACGAAAAAGCTGTACCGTTTGAAGGGGTTTGCGAGGAGGATAAACCAGAATTGTCAACGCTGAGTAAACACTTACAAGAATTGGTAGAAAAGGATACAACAGCTTATATCGAGGAATTGAGGCACCAGGCGGAAAAATCACAACGAGGGCGACATAATTCGATATTATTACGAAAGAATGAAAACTCTGACGATGAAAATCCTCCGCCCAGCAGTTGTCGAGGCGCAGTTAACATGCCTGCTAGTCGTTTTCTCTATTAATTTCGTGTTCAAATGATATATTCTTTTATAAAATCGAATGCTCCAGGTAATACGATTTTCCTTCAGTTCAGGAGGAAAATGAAGTTCCTTTTTAAGTGCAGTGCTATTGCCTGAATCGGTATGAACGTTAGCACATTCAACGACAGTATTGTATGAGAATTTTTACATATTTATTTACTGTACCTCTAACTAGTTTTTTTGATGTGTTTTGTCATTGTAAATTTCTATATAGTTAGAACTAATTTGTACATGAATGTATATTTCATCATTATTTTTAGCGTTCAATGTTAACATTAATCGATATTTCATTAAAATGTTGTAAAGTAACGGCGGCTATTCAAATATTCATGAGTTTTTATGATTCTTTTTTTATAAACAGCTTTTTTATTTATGACGTAGAAGCTTAGAGAATCAAAAAGGTGTTACTTTATTGTTACTGGAAAGTGCATTATGAAGTTGCAATTAAAAGATAATAAGAATTTAATATTTTGTAAGAAGTGTAATTGGCTGTTTATATGTGTGTACATATGCGTATAAAAGATAGTACGTAATACCAGAAATACCATCAATTTTATAATTATATATTTGTTATACCTTCGCACATAATTTAATACCGATACGAATCCTCTATCGTACGAAACAAAAATAATATGTTATACTTTAATAATATATTTGTTTCTAATGTTTGTTCTCATTTTATTCATCGATAAACGCAATGTATATAAATTTGTAATTTATTTACAATTTATATCGTAGCTTTTATATACAAATATTACGTAGTTTACTAATACTTCTAAGTTGACGTTCGTTGTAGCAAATTGTCGTAATTAACGGAAAAAATGTAAAAACGATTCTATTGTTGTAAATAGAAAGTGTTTAATCGTAATGATTAAAAAGATACAAGGAAGAAGAGAAACTCCAAGCATTATGAATCTGTGATAAATTTATACTGTCGAATCGATGATATTAATTCCTTAGCTCAGTATTCAACAAAGAAAAAGATAAAAGAATACGTTATCAGTCTTCATTTATATTTGATGCATTACAATGTAAAATATTGGGCCTTATGTAATTGTAAATTATTTTAAACAATACCCGAATAAATTATTCAAAGCAGTTATTTTTTTTCTTCAGTATCACAGAATATAACATATTAAAAATCAAGCATCCGTTCACAAAGGTAATTACCTGCAGTTAATACTCATAATTAAAGATTATATTATAAATTTCGATACTATTGCTTTGTTAATTTTTAACGTATAATTTACACCAATAAAATTGCAATGAATTTGCTATATTGTTGATAGTTAATAGACTAATTATTACAGTCAGTATTTTACAGAAAAATTTAGAATCTTGGAAAAGAGGATAAAAATGTCCAATTTTAGTAATTTAAAAATTAGGAACTTCGAAACATTAGAAAGTTTAATTTGCAGGGGGAAACGTTATAAAATTCCCCTTAATTCTGTTGTACGAAACTGTATCTCCTGTTTTTATCTTGACATCGCGTTTCACGATCGACCAACGTGTATCCGACAAGATAACGATTAATTCATTTAGTAGCTGTGAATACCTTGCGCGAGATCGATTAGGAATTATTCTTAAAACTATGAAAAAGCTATATCTAGCTGTAATCGTTAGTAAGTGGATGTAGATTAGACAACTTAGATGCTTAAAAAATTCGATATTAAAAGAAGAACGATTATTATCAGGTAATGTGGGTATGCTGTCATACGGCCTTTGTTTTGGCTGGGCCTCACCATCGTTACCTAATCTACTACAGCCTAATAGCTCCGTTCCTTTAATACCGCAAGAAGCTGTATGGGTCACATCATTCCAAACCATCGGTGGAACAATTGGTTCTCTTTGCGGTAATTTCCTGTTAAATGCGATCGGTCGAAAATGGTCTTTGCTCTTCACCGCGGTGCCAGGAATAGTAGGATGGATGATGATCGCTTTTGCAACATCAGCATGGGTAATTTAATTTAATGGCTTGCCCTATATAGTTCGCACATTTTAACGATGAGAAATTTTCTTGAAAATTCTCCAGTAGGTCCACTCAGACTTTAACAAGCTCTATGTTACATTCACGGTATAAAACTCATGTTTCTTATACATCTACAATATCAATATACAGGTACGGGATATGCTTCAATTAGAAATGTTTAAATCGAACATCAAAATGTAAGATCAAAATATGAAGGCAGGTAGGAAACTGACAAAGTGTATAATGATAACATATCAAACGATTCGAGATTTTTATTACTTGATCACGCAGTGCGTCTAGTACTTTAAGCCATGTAGCTTTGATACCGACTACCAGATTAACTCCATAATTACCGCACATTGGCGTAACTATCATCACGATTTATACACCCAAAGCATGACCCTTCTCACCCTTCTGACTCTACAGTATAACGCAGAATATCTTACACAATATATTTCTGAATTCATTGAACACAGATACAAAGTTTATTCATTTTTGTTTAGGAACTAATGGTTGGAAGATTCGCGTACGGATTGAGTACCGGATACGGATACATGTGCGTTACCGTGTACGTAGGTGAAATATCACCGGCTGACATACGAGGGATACTAACATCTATGTTGACTGTATCCGCAAAATTCGGCGTGTTCATCGAATGGACGATAGGTCCGTTTCTTTCAATGCGAAACCTGGCTCTCGTTTCATCGGCGGTACCTATTTGCTTCCTCATCGGCATTCTATGGATACCGGAATCCCCGTATCATTTGATGCGTCGGGGGAAACATGGCCAGGCGGTCATGTCCCTTATGCAATTAAGAGGAAGCGCGAACGTTTCCGCGGAGGCTGACATTATCGAGAAATCCGTGGAAGCTGATCTGGCTAATGATACAGGCTTCCGGGAACTTTTGGGAGTTCCTGGTAATCGCAAGTATGTGAATTTTGCAGCAAATACTAGATTAAGCACAAAATACTTTCACTATAAGATGAAATTATTTCGTTATAAGATGAAGTACTGATTTGCAAATTTTTATGATTTCATCTTGGGTACCGAGCGTCGAATTCCTACGCGTTGTATCACCTCGCGTCGAATTCCTACGCGTTGTATCTCCACGCTTAGAATTCATACGCGTTGTATCGCCATGCGTCGAATTCCTACGCGTTGTATCGCCATGCGTCGAATTCCTACGCGTTGTATCGCCATGCGTCGAATTCCTACGCGTTGTATCGCCATGCGTCGAATTCCTACGCGTTGTATCGCCATGCGTCGAATTCCTACGCGTTGTATCGCCATGCGTCGAATTCCTATGCGTCGAATTCCCACGCGTCGAATTCCTACGCGTTGTATTTCCATGCTTCGAATTCCTACGCGTTGTATCGCCATGCGTCGAATTCCTACGCGTTGTATCGCCATGCGTCGAATTCCTACGCGTTGTATCGCCATGCGTCGAATTCCTACGCGTTGTATCGCCATGCGTCGAATTCCTACGCGTTGTATCGCCATGCGTCGAATTCCTACGCGTTGTATCGCCATGCGTCGAATTCCTACGCGTTGTATCGCCATGCGTCGAATTCCTACGCGTTGTATCGCCATGCGTCGAATTCCTATTCCACGCTTCGAATTCCTACGCTTTGTATCGCCATGCGTCGAATTCCTACGCGTTGTATCTCCATGCGTCGAATTTCTACGCGTTGTATCTCGACGCATGGAATTCCTACGCGTTGTGTCTCCACGCGTCGAATTCCCATGCGTGGTATTGCCATGCGTCGAATTCCTACGCGTTATATCTCCACGCGTCAAATTTCTACGCGTTGTATCTCCAAGCGTCGAATTTTATTACCTACTGTCTTACAAACTCTTATAATTTCATCTCGGGTTAAGTGGGCAAAGAAACAAAGAGACATTAATAATAAGGGTTAATGTCATTATTGATATTACAAGTGAATATATGATATGTAATATAACATTACAATAGAACATTTATATATTTGTAATAAGTAAATCATGCTTTCAAATCATTTTTCAGAGCGTTAATCATAGTGCTGTGTCTCCTGGTGCTCCAACAATGGAGCGGCAGTCAGGCGATCCTGTCTTACGCCGAATTAATCTTCAACGCGACCGGCAACCCACTTGAAGGTAAATACGTGACCATAATATTGGGAGCCGTGCAAGTGGTATGCACCGTACTTAGCACGATCGTAGTGGACCATTACGGCAGGAGGCCGTTGCTAATGATATCTTCTCTGGGCACCTCCATCTCGACTTTTCTCGTCGGTTTGTTTTTCTTTCTTCGAAGTATTCAAGCGGACGTCAGCGAGATCACTTGGTTACCAGCTACGGGAGCGACACTGTATCTGGTCATGTACGCTTTCGGTTTGGCCGCGCTTCCGTTCACCATGTTGAGCGAAGTCTTCCCTACGAACGTTAAGGCTCTTGGGGGCAGCATCGGTATGTTTGTTTGCAATCTGTGCGCGGTTATCGTGTCGCTGACTTATAAAGACATTGCCGACCAGTTTGGTATGCACGGAGCGTTCTGGTTGTTTTCGACTGTTAGTCTTTCGGGAGTCGCTTTCGTGTACTTTTACACGCCTGAGACGAAGGGGAAGACGCTGCAGGAGGTGCAGGATCAGTTGCACGGACGTAAATCGTTGTGAGAAGCCGCACATTGTTGTATTATGTATTGTTTGTTTTAATGAGGTCCATACTTCTCTGGAGAGGTTGTGCATTTCTTTAGGGAGTATGTTAACAAGATATATGTATATGGTTAATGGCAAGATATGTAATCTTGTACTAGAAGACTAGAATTTGTAATTGAAAGTATTATTATGAGATAATAATTGTAAGGAAATATTAAATAAAATTTGTAAGATGTGTATTTACTTTGTTGCAGGACGATGTATATATGTTATGAATGTTAAATGAAAGATGTGATAACAATGAGATATTAATTAATGGTTCATGTATATTTTGATAATCAGGCTTTCGGAAATCAAGTGGTTTAGATTACGTAAACCGCTGTCTGACCCACGCTGCTCGTTACTACTGATGCTAATCGTGCGCAAGCCATTACTACTGACAGTAGTCATTACCCGTATGCGATCAGACGTCGAATACACGTGTCACGTGCAATTACATAATTCTGGAAATTATTTATTAATAAACCGTGTCTGTTACGCACAAACGTAATGTAAAACAAATATTCTTGTAAATTTTTCAAATCATCCGAACAAATTTTATATCGTTTTTCTCCAAATTACAAAACAAAGCTGAAAAACAGGAACAGACAAGAGCTGTACAAATTAATAGTTGAATGCGTTATTTGTTCAAAATATTGTACATATATTTGCTCCATGAAATTTCAGCGAACGAACTGGGCAAAGCAGGATTAACATTGGATGTGGAAAATGAAATATTGTTTGGTTGCTTGTAGCCGGTATTAATTAACATGCAAACAATCAATGCCCGTTACCTGCAGTGTAAACTGCAAATAAATAAATGCCGAGACCTGATCGGCATTGCACGTAAAAGATGATTACGAATGCTGTTTTATTTGTATTTCACTTGCGCGCACTTACCGTCTGCATCGAGAATTCGTTTGTTATTAATCTCTTGTTCAGCAAATACTCGACCTCGATGTTAGATTAAAATAAATCGTCGTGTCATCGCGGAACGGAATAATACATTTGACTTCAACGTGACTTACACATTAATTTCCTTTCTCTTAATATTTTATGTAAAATTCTTGACATTTTATTTGTGCTTTGTAATTGGTAAATAATAACGACTGATTAAAAAACCACATATATGATTTATTGAAAATGTTTAAACAGCCTTTTAAAAGTTCTCTTCGGAATCTATACAAACAGGTACCGCATACGATTAAATTTACAATAATATGTACATTCAAGGATACGAATAGTTTGGTAATCGAAAGTGTTCCTTCAGAAACAGTTATTTCTTCGATCCGTGTCGAAGTTACGTTTTACGCTTTTGTGTAATCATAAATTAAATAGACATCAATCAAATGAATATCTCTAAAAATATTTTATGGATGTATAATAAAGAATGGAGTACATCATTTTCATCAGTGGAAGATGGCAGTTTTTAAATAGTATAAAATTCAAGTTTAAATTAATGTATAACATATGTAAAGATTATACTGCCAATTTACTTGATGTCTATTCAGAATATGATCGAATAAAACTAAAAAAAATAAAAAATGAAAGAACTCAACCTTGCAGACATACTATCTGCCTAAAAATACAGTAGAAAAATACGATCGATCACTTTCGTTATCCGATTAACCACACAAGTACACAAGTACGTCCCTGCAGGTTTAGAGCATTCTAGATGCCTTTAAACTCAATTTCGATCAGCTTCGAAACGTGGATTAATTTGATCGGTTTCCTGAAGCTATTGCCACGAAGAGCCGTTGATATATTCGTACGATATCGATCATTCGTTACACGCTTCAGTTTTACTCTTAACACGTTAAATGCCGCAATACTGCCGACTTCAAGATTTTATGTAATATTCATATTACGGGAGATTTTTTGTACGTGGGGACACTTTTACATTGTTTCAAGTTTTATTGTTATACGTTAGATTACTACGCGTTAGATTATTGGGCGTTAGATTACGACGCGTTAGATTACTACGCTTTAGATTGCCACGCACTGAGTTTCTATGGACTGCATTGCAACGCGTGGAATATCTACGCGCTGTGTCACCACGCATCAAATTTCTATGCGTTGTATCTTCACACGTGGAATTCCTACGAGTTGTATTGCCATGCGTCGAATTTCTACGCGTTGTATTTCCACGCGTGGAATTTCTATGCGTTCTATTTCCACGCATGGAATTCCTACGCATTGTATTTCCACGCGTGGAATTTCTACGCGTTGTATCCCTACGCGTGGAATTCCTACGCGTTGTATTTCCACGCGTGGAATTCCTACGCGTGGAATTTCTACGCGTTGTATTTCCACGCATGGAATTCCTATGCGTTGTATTTCCACGCATGGAATTCCTACGCATTGTATTTCCACGCGTGGAATTCCTATGCGTTGTATTTCCACGCATGGAATTCCTATGCGTTGTATTTCCACGCATGGAATTCCTATGCGTTGTATTTCCACGCATGGAATTCCTATGCGTTGTATTTCCACGCATGGAATTCCTATGCGTTGTAGTTTCCACGCGTGGAATTCCTACGCGTGGTATTGCCATGCGTCAAATTCCTACGCGTTGTATCTCCAAGCGTCGAATTCCTACGCGTTGTATCTCCACGCGTGGAATTTCTACGCGTTGTATCCCTACGCGTGGAATTCCTACACGTTGTATTTCCACGCGTGGAATTCCTACGCGTGGAATTTCTACGCGTTGTATCCCTACGCGTGGAATTCCTACACGTTGTATTTCCACGCGTGGAATTCCTACGCGTGGAATTTCTACGCGTTGTATTTCCACGCATGGAATTCCTATGCGTTGTATTTCCACGCATGGAATTCCTACGCATTGTATTTCCACGCGTGGAATTTCTACGCGTTGAATCTCCACGCATCAAATTCCAATGCGTTGAATCGCCACGCGTGGAATTCCTACGCGTCAAATCTCCACGCGTCAAATTCCAATGCGTTGAATCGCCACGCGTGGAATTCCTACGCGTTATATCGCCATACGCCGAATTCCCACGCGTTATATCGCCATGCATCGAATTCTGCTACGTACCGAATTCTTATTGTTTATATCACGACGCGTTGCATCACCATACGTGAAATGTCTACCCGTCGAATTCCCCTATGCGTCAAATTGCTCCTCGAATCGGCTCACGTACCATGTTGTTATAGCTGGTTGTTTGCTCCGCAACATTTAACGTATTAATCCACGAAGAAACTTCGTAGCCCGATTTACCTCTCCGGTGTGACGGCGGAACTTTCTCAATTTCCTGTTCGAACATCAGGTTTTTCACGAAACGGTGGACTTTCAACGAAAATCGTGACCGTCCACATGCGACATTAGCACGAGTTCGTGGCTGCGAGAAACTCCGAACAAATATCGGAAAACCGATGGATAGATTCTATTAGTAGGAAGTAATTCGTGGAACCAAAACCAACGATAGACCGAACTGTCGTCATCGAGCGATCGCTTTTAGCGAACCGGTGTTACGACTAGCACAACGACCACCATCGGTTTCCGGACTTGTAGCCGAGGGTGTTCTTTACGAGGATAAATTATTCATCGAACTGGCTATAGCGAAAATGTTCGTCACACGAGTCGGTTTCTCTTAAGGGCGAAGGAAAGCCGTAAAATGGCAATGAGATCCTGCCATCAGCATCGGACACGACTGCACAGCGGTTTCAGGTGTATTGTACTCGAGTAATTTTCTGAGATTGAATGGAGGGATCGATCATCGCGGAGTCCACCAACTTCAACAAGGGTGATGATATCGCGAATTCATTTTCTGTCTCTTTGTTGGCCAGCAGTATCGTGATCGAGCTTTCTGAAACACACGGAATGAAGATCTCATGTTTCGGAATTGCTTTGTGACCGGCGATCAAAGTGCGGAGGTTCGATCGAAATGGAAGATATGTTTTGATGAGCAATTTCGATACATTGAAAAATTTATATGAATTTATATGAACGTTGTGGAATATTCTTGGGTGCTGTGCGAATTACACATATTAGCGTAATTAGGTGTGGATTAGGTATCTGGTCAGAATTAGAATTAAATAGAGACTTTCAAAATGACAGAAGTACAAAACTCTCTAAACTATTCTGAACTCTCACAAATTATTAAATCACCAAATTTGTGAATTCCTAAATTTTCGAACCCTTAACTTCCCAAATTTTGAATCTCCTAATTTTTGGAGAAAAAGTTCCCGGTGAAAGAACACTCAGCAGGAAATGAGGGTGAACCTACCAGACTTCCCTTTCTGATCCTCGGACGCCGTATCGGGAAACTGAACATGTTTCCTTGCCGATTTACCGACAACAGGACTTTTATCCGAAGACCCAGTGTTCTGGCCCGCCGTAGGACTCTGCGTCGGCGTTGCGGTTACTTTGGTTTCGTTGTTAGTCGCCGTTTTTCGAGAGCTCAAGCAAGAAGTGGCGGTCGTAGTCGGTGGCTGTGTGGCGTATCTGACTGCTGGAACCTTCAAACAACACTTTATAAGGTTCATTTTCATTATTCATTTGCAACAATTATGCAACATTCGCATCTTCAAAGATAACGATTTCAAAGAGTGCAAAGGGTAGAAAGCTAATAAAACGAGTTCCATTTGTTCACTGATGGAAATACTGTTATCGGAGTCACAATCTACATTAATCGATATCTAATAACCTTGCCATTTGTAAAATTGCAATTCAACTTTTTTGTTGGAAAAAATTTCTAATATGACTTTCATATTTTTATGTCCTTATGTGTGCCAGTATTAATTTTTTCAAGATTACTTTTTCTTGCGAAACAGTATGAATATGTACGAGCTCTTTTAACACATGCATAACCTCTTAGTTGTTTGCATTATATTACCTTGTGTATCTCACCACTATAAATATACGATATATGGGGTATTTCACAAGTAATGTAGGTTCCTGAAATGGGAGATAGCTGACGTGATTCCGTATAAAATTTCCATTTAATTAATATAAATTACTTAGAAATTACGGAGCGCGGAGTTATGGCGCATGGCAATACGGCGTGTGGAAATTACGGCGCGTGGAATTATGGAGCGTTGAAATTTCGGCGCGTGGAAATACGGCGCGTAGAATTATGGCGCTTGGAAATTACAGCGCGTGGAAATTACGGAGCGTGGAATTATGGCGCTTGGGAATTACA